ACATGGACGTGATGGCCTGGCCTACCCGCATATCAAGCGGCTTTTCGGGATCAGGGTCGACGGTGTATTCGAGCAGGTAGTCGCACAGCTCCGTGTTGGCTGGGTTCTCGCACGTCACCTCAAACTGTCGCATGGCGCCAATGAGGGCTTTTGCGCAGTCGATGACGTTCTTGTAGATGGTGAGGCGGTACATGGCCAGCTCCTCCTGCGTGTAGCCGTTTTGATGTATAATCTTCATCTGCTTGACAATGGTGGACTTGCCGCTCTCTCCGGAGCCTGTCGGGCGTGTTAGTAGGCGGATGGCAGCACGCAGCCGTCAGCTGAACTCACCCAGCAGCAGAATCTTGCATTCTCTGCGTAACCGGCGCGAGTCTTCCTCGAGCTTGCGGTCAATGGCCTGGCTGCGCTTCTTCTGCTCGACATCGTCGTTGTTGGTGCTCATGCAGATACCCATGTCGGCGGTTGTGTGATGCGGCTCACGGCCGCGGGCGATGATGGGATGTCGTTTCGCTGATCAGGACAGAGTCGAGCACTAGGCTCAGCGCGTCGCCAGAGGGTTGCCGGCTGCTCGCGACGTTGAGAGTGAGACGGTTTCTGGGCCGGGCAGTCGTGGGACGACGGGCGCGTTGCTGGAAGCTGTGGTGACGCTTGCGTCGGCTTGGTCCGACACGCAGCTCCCGTCAAAGGGGGGCCTCGCAGCGTAGGCGGGCGCGGAAGAGTGTCGCCAGCGTGATTTGGCTACAGCAATCGAGGGCGGGGTCAGGCTGAGGGGGTGCAGGGACGGAGTTTCGTATACGACGGTGCTCGGTGCTGGTTGATGTTGTATGCTTGGTAGGCTCAAAGGCGTGAGCTAGATCCGACTCTCCAGGGCTGTCGGTGGCTCGTGCGGATGCCTTCCCCAGCAAAGTTGACGAGGAAGGCGCGGGATCTGGAGACGGCAGGACCTGGCCGGCACTGCTACTGCACTGTCACTGCAATAAGACCTCACCACAACAGACGGCAAGACAAGACAAGACAAGCCAAGCGTCAACCAGTCAACCAGCACGTATATTATTTGATCAAAGTGCCTTGTTGGTGCTGTCGACTCTGACCTGATGATGGATGATGAGGGCGCCGGCCCCATTTGCTGCTAAGCCTCATTCAAAATCCTGGTCCCCCATCCTACCACCAAAAGCTGCCCGCAGCGATCAGGGCAGCAAGCCATTTTGGCACGAGCCAGGTTTGCGGAACAGGGCGCATGCTCAGGCGCAACAATGATAGTATCAATATCAATATCAATAACAACAACAAGATTAATCACTCTCGACGCGCTCCACGCTCCTCGTCCTCCTCGTGGCTACCTTGCTCGCATGGGCCTGCTTATTGGCAGACGTGCGTCGTGCGTTTTGCTTCATCATGGGCGCCCTCCCCTTGATACAATGGCCCCTGCAACCAGCGCCGCAGACTGCTGTGCCTCCAAACCCGTACCCGTATACACATTCACAAACCCCCCCTGAGCCCGTATCTGCCACACGATAGAGTTTACCTCGTCACTGCCCTGCGTCGGCTGCCTGCGCAAACTCGCACAAACTGCAAACTAACTCGCTGCTACATCATACAGCAAACTAACCGTCTGCGACATGCAACCGCCATGTGGATTGAGACATGGTTGTGGACCTAGCCGCCAGACATGAAGCCCTTCTAAATTAAGGACCACGTCGATACCACTGCCCCGTATGTACCGGTACTTGCACACGATATCATTACTCCCCACTCCCCACTCTCATATCCATCTCATGGCCTCGTCTCGATGCATATCCAAATACTAGATGCACCAGTGGGCCCCGTGTCAGGGCCGCGTACTTGTGACAAGCCTTGCAAATGTCGTGCATTATCATGCCTGGTAGCGAGAAGTCAACACCCACTTTGCTCCAACCATCACCATGTACGAAACGAGCACTAACGCGGCTTGGCCAGTGGAACACATGGCGCAAAAGACAGGCGACGTAGTCCATGTAGAGAGACGGAAAGATGACCATCTGTCGTTGACTGTCACGTAGTCGTCGCCAGGGTTCTGCTCAGGTTCCGTTCAGGTTCCGCAAGCTTCGGAGCATTCCGGACCAACTACAGTCGACGGCCCGTCTACTTTTGCGAATTACGTGCAGATGGCAGAGGGCTCGCCCTTGTATAATTGACATTAGTATGACCGGGACGCTGGTCAAGCCTTCGTCATCTACACGTCTGCCCCTCTGCCCAGCCTTGTTCCTTGCCACGCATGGCCGTATACAGCAAGTATAGCTGAACAGGCAAGCCACGTGATATGAGGGGTGGTACCAAGACTACACATGGTCACCTCTTCGACTTGCAACGCCAAGAGCAAAGTAGATTGCCGGCAGCAGGTAGCGGGCAGAAAAAGCCAGACGCTCGATGCGGATGGCGAAGCGCAGTATTCGCATGCCGCACCAAGGCACATCAAGGCAGAAGACGCTCTACATGATGCATGGGTATTGATCGAAAACTCGAAAGTCCATCGTGACGTCACTCTCGATCCAGGCGAAACCTGTGTGAGCATGTCCCGAGCGCGGGCCAGCCGTCCTCTATCATTTGGTGCCTGCCTGCCCCTCATTGCAACTCTTTGTACTGTAGACCTTCTCACTCGTCCCTTGCTCTCTCGTATAACATCTCGCCACACATCTGAGCCACCTGTCCCTGTGTTGCACATAGGTCATCCCGTCGGCGCCTCTCTTCTCCCCGCCGACGCTGCTCTGCTTACCGTCAACATTGAAAGCGGCAGCCATAAAAGGCCAATAGTCGTCGCGGCGTGCATATCCTTGTGCAAAGTTTGAGTGTTTTCCACGCGCTCTCCGGAACTGTTCTTGCGCAATCGCCTCCTGCCCGGACCTAGCTACCGAACCCCAATAAAACCTGCTCTGCTCTAGCAGCGTCGACGTGCGACTAGACCCCGACATCTTTCGCGAATACCCCACGACTTCAGCCCGCCGCCTTCTTTCCCACCACCACAATCCCCCCAATAAGTACCCCTCTCTGCGCAAGTCGCTGCATCCTAGAGCCTACCATTCACCATGGCGGAATTTGTACGCGCCCAGATTTTTGGCACCACCTTTGAGATTACGAGCAGGTAAGCATATGCCCCACGTCGTCATATGGCCCACCACTCACACTGCACAGGTACACAGATCTGCAGCCTGTAGGCATGGGCGCATTCGGTCTCGTTTGGTATGCTTGCCATTCTGCTAATAACCAACAAAATACTCATTTCCCTGCAGCTCAGCAAAGGACCAGCTCACGAGCCAGGCGGTGGCGATCAAGAAGATCATGAAGCCATTCAGCACCCCGGTTTTGTCCAAGCGGACATACCGAGAGTTGAAGCTTCTGAAGCATCTCAGACACGAGAATGTGGGCAATTCAGCTGCCAGTCCTCGCACGAAAACTCTAACACGGCCCAGATTATCAGCTTGAGCGACATCTTCATCTCTCCCCTCGAAGACATGTACGTACCTCGACCACGCACATTTCTACTCCCCATACTAACCCAGCCAGCTACTTTGTCACCGAGCTCCTCGGAACCGATCTTCACCGTCTGCTGACGTCCAGACCGCTGGAGAAGCAGTTCATCCAATACTTCCTCTACCAGATCTTGGTGCGTAACAAGTCCACCAAATCCACAAAGCATAAACTGACTCCAGTAGCGTGGTCTGAAATACGTCCACTCGGCTGGTGTCGTACATCGTGACCTGAAGCCCAGCAACATCCTCGTCAACGAGAACTGCGATCTCAAGATCTGCGACTTCGGTCTCGCCCGTATACAAGACCCCCAGATGACGGGATACGTCTCGACCCGATACTACCGCGCGCCAGAAATCATGCTCACATGGCAAAAGTACGATGTCGAGGTGGATATCTGGAGTGCAGGATGCATCTTTGCCGAGATGCTCGAGGGCAAGCCGCTATTCCCTGGAAAGGATCACGTCAACCAATTCTCCATCATTACGGAGCTGTTGGGTACTCCCCCGGATGACGTGATCCAAACCATCTGCAGTGAAAACGTGAGACCACACATGCAATATGGGATGAATTTCGCTAACGTCACCAGACACTGCGATTCGTTCAGTCGCTCCCCAAGCGCGAGCGACAACCCCTGTCCAACAAGTTCAAGAACGCCGAGCCTCAGGGTATGTGTTTGAAGTCGAGATTGACTACCAAAGATTATGGCTGACATTGGCTAGCCGTCGATCTCCTAGAGAACATGCTGGTCTTCGACCCCAAGAAGCGCGTACGAGCGGAGCAGGCTCTCGCACACCCATACCTAGCCCCATACCACGACCCGACTGATGAGCCGATCGCGGAGGAGAAGTTTGATTGGTCGTTCAACGATGCAGACCTGCCCGTCGACACATGGAAGATTATGATGTAAGATATACGTGGATATGGTGACTATGTACAAGGAGCTAACACTATGCAGGTACTCGGAGATCTTGGACTACCACAACGTCGATGCGGCGGCACAGGAGCAGGAGAACAACGGCAGCTAATTACGCGAGGGTTCGTCCACTGTCGAGCCACAGCAAATTCCAGTCTTTGAGGCAACACAATACGCAGTTTGCCAAGGCTTGTCGTATCATCTGCCAGGTGCAGGTGGATTTGGCTTTTCCCAATGATTCCCGAGGTCTTTTTGCCAAAGGCCAATGTGACATGAAGTGCGCGAATAGAAGGGGCATGGGTTTGCTTTGTCATTTGAATCACCATTGATGGTACACGAAAAGAATGTTTATGACAGAATTGGGGTGGTGCTCCAACCTAGGCAGAAAGCTGAATCATGTTATCAAACATACTTGTCCCTCGCGTCTCTCCCACCCTCCCAAATGATATGACGATTGCTGTCGTCTGGTGCGAATTGGACCAGGTGTCGGCGGTACTATATTATGCACTACATGATTTCCCCCAGGGTATAGATTGGCTACTGACTTGTGCCCACTACCCGTGCAGCCAGATCGAGATTGTACCAGATCTGAGCCGATGGTGTCGGCGGTGGCTAGAGAAAAGGGCCTGGTGACCGCCGTGCGTACGGCTGGAGACGGACAACTCCAGGCCTGAAGCAGTCTAGCGGCTTAGGGCTGACATCGGATGGACAGTCGATCGTCACCGCTTCACATCGCGTCCCGCAACTGTCAAGGACGCGAGCCTGGCGCCCATGGCCTTGGAATTCCCCTTCTCCTTGATCTCGTACGCTGTGCGATAGCGTTGAGCGCGCAAGACCATGACAATACTCAATCCACTCGTTTGTGTGGTAGACTTCCACCATGCGCGGTAAGTTGCATCCCCTGCATAGTAAGGAGTGGACACATGGAGTCGAGTAGAGAGCATACCCCGGCTATTTCAGGAGGATATGTAGACTCAGTAATAGGAAAACATCGCTAATGTCATGATCCAGAGGACCAGAAGTTGAGACCTGGCTCGGTGCAGAAGAGGGGACCGACCCAGCCATTGATAATGACTGGTCGCTGCTGCCATTCATGGCCTTGAGCGATGGCGCGCATGCCTCTACCGAAGACTACTCGTATTTTACCCTTCGCCGCGCCCAAACCTCGACCGACCCCGCTACCTCGCTGTTCGGCATATCATGTACACGACAACTCGATGCCAGCAAGCTCATCGACCGACCAGCCGAGGTCACAAGGAGTACAGTGCAGAAGGCTGTTGTAGTCATAAGCGATAGCCCCCAGCATTTTGGCGCAATCAAGGCGCAATTGGGTATCGTCACGCAGCTATGGTTTGCTCAAAAGTACGTGAGCGGTGCGGATAGACGGTGCAAGATGCGGATATAAACACGCCTACGAAGACATGTACGAATACAGAGTGCAGAACTGACGTTTTGCAGCGATTTTACGGATCTCGACATATTACAGCGATTTACCGAAAGTCTGCCCCAGCTGCTAAAGAACCAAGAGGGGCAACAAGACCACTATTTTGGTATCTCCCTCCGTGAGTTCATACACGAGTTCAAATGGCAAACTCTGGTTCTTTTCAAGTGTGCCTTGCTCCAACCAAAGGTGTGTCTTACCCCATAAGCCTTGTTAACTGGACTGTCAGGTTACATTGGTTCTAACACCCAGTAGGTTCTTTTCTTCGGCTCCCATTGCGAACGATTATGCATGATGCAATTTGCTCTTATTTCTTTGATACCCGGCCTCATTCGCCACTTGCAAGATGCTGCTGATCCAAAGTTCAATTCGTGCGAGGAGAAGTGCGTAATGCCTACTTCTCTGAAGACGTCAGAGCGCGCGTCTTGTCAGTACAACCACTCGTATCGTCGAACATGTTACTAATTTTGAAAAGTGCTGGCATACATGGGTCTCCCCCTGCAACTGTTCGGTACAGGATCACTATTCGGCCCATATACCCCGCTTCAGCAACTCGACATCCTGGCTGACCAGGATACCAAGTCTTATATTGTTGGTTCTACCAACTCGCTGCTGTTGCAGCAAAGAGATCGCTACAGTGATATCCTGATTAACCTTGATGATCACACCGTAAACATCACTTCGGCCGCACTTCGATCGGCCTCTGTTTTATCCACACCCGATCGAAGGTGGATTGACTTTCTAACCCAAACCGTCAACGATACATGGGATGATGCCGATCCTGCGCGACCAAAGGATCACGGTTATGCCGGCAGCGAAGAGTTCATTCGTATGCAATTCGAGGAGTACCTGCTTGCTATGCTAAGCTCTGTCAAGTACAAGCTCTATCTGGAGAAGAATGCTCACAAGGAGCATTTGATTACAGAGGTTGAAGGTAACCCAGCTAGCGAGTTCTCAAACGAATGGGTGCATGCCTGGATGCAAACCGAGAACTTTCGCATCTGGAATAAGTTCACAGACTCGCATCTTTTCGACATTGTTGACCCCAAACACCCCTGCTCCGGTGGTCTAAGTATGGAAGATGTCCAGCGAAGACTAGCACAGTATGTTCAACCTCGTCTTCTCTTTGCACTTTCCATCATCAGCGCGACTAAAAGCTCTTCACCTAGTCTTTGCTCTACCCCGACTTTCCAAGCCGTATCTCTGGGATTATGTGTGCTAATACTTGCGTGGCGAATAGGCAGGTAGCGGAAATGCATCTCGACGAACGGCTAGAAAAGAGCAGAGAGGCGCTCGGCAAGCAGCTCGCCGTAGGCCAGCAAAAAGTCTCATCCGCTTACAACAGACTCTGGGCGGAGATGGAGGCCATGCGCGAGGCCCAGAAACAGAGAGCGGAGGAAGCTAAACTCCTGGCTGAGAAAGAGGGTAAACCTGTCGATGACGGGAAGAAGTGTACGTATTATAGACTTCCACAAACATGCACCACCATTTCACAGCTATCCATGGACTCGTTTAACAAGAACACAAAAACAGGGAAAACACCACAAGCACCCGACCTCTCCACGGCAAAAGCAAGCGCCGGCGCCTACTTCTCCAGCTGGGGCACCTGGGCGTCTGAAAAACGCAGAACCTGGGGCGCAGCAAAAACTCCCGTCGCTTCACCCACCCCGCTCGACGTCAAACGCGCAGAAGACTTCAAGGCTGAAAAAGAAAAAACTGTCGGTGGTGTTGGTACCCCTGGTGTGCCTGAGACACCCGTCGCAGTCGATACTCCCTATCAGGATGACGCGAGAAGGTCGAGTGTGTTCTTCGATGCTGAGAATGATAGGGGTGAGAGTAGGGGGTGTAGTCCTGTTAAAGAGAGGGTTGTGGGATTAGGGTTGGGGCTGGAGGGCAAGAGGGCGAGTAAGGGGGATGGTATGGTTGATATTAATCTCGAGGATGAGGAGAAGGAGGTTTGGGGGGCGAGGAGTGTGGAGGTTGAGAGGAAGAAGGTGGAAGTGGAGAAGAAGGTGGTTGATGTTGATTCTGATCTTGATATTGATGACGATGACGATGATGGTGATGATGATGATGATGATGGGGAGAAGGAGAAGGAGAAGGAGAAGGAGAAGACTGTGATTGAGAAAGAAAAGAGTGTTGTGGAGAAGAACTAGATGGTTGGATGGTATCCATCATGTTGATTATAAGCTTGGATTCGATGATTATGTAACTAACAGGTTGAGCATGGTATTTAGTGTAGAGTGCGTCTTGCGTTTACAGGGGTGAATGTTCATGGTACAGGGGAGTAAAGGGGATGAAAGATGATGAATAAGATATCCCATTCATCATGTCTCCTCACTCCATGCACTGATCTCCATGTACATATTTATAACATCGTGTTTCGTCATTGATAGCCATACCAGACTAGGAAATATGTAGACTTAGGTTATACCACCTTACCTCCCTACCCACACTCATCCCATCACATCCCATCCCATCACGACTCACCCACTTACTGAGCTTCCTGAACCCCATGTAGCGTAACCGCCGCCCTAATCTTGGCCCCATTACCCATATCGAAGCTATTCTGCACCATCAAGCCCTCAGCACCGAGCACATCCTGCCAGCCAATCTGCGCACTTCCAAACTCGGTAGTCTTGTTCAGCAGATGGAATTGGAACGCACCAGGGTTGGCCAGCATATCCGCCGTAAGTGGGATGCGGAACGCCTGGTCGAACGAAGGGTTGTAGATGTCCGTGCCGGGCGTGTACGTCTTGACAGCCGTCTGGAACGTGTGTGTGCCCCATGTCACCTTGACGCTAGGCTGCAGTTCTTCGCGCGGGCCCTGGAGGTCGTGTGCGCTTGCGATGAGGATGGTAGCCAGACCGACGTATTGGCCTTGTCCCTGGGCATGTGCTGACGAGAGGATCTGAGCGTTGTTTACAAAGTTGAAGAATTTGGCGTGGATGAGGACGCGGCCGCCTGTGGGCGTGTTCTTGTGCGAGAGACTGAGGTCTTGGGAACCGCCCTGGAGGAGTATGTCCTTGACCGTGGTGGAGGCGAAACCTATGTCGTCGTCACCCGTGGCTGTGTCCTCGTCTTGGATGTCGATCGAGATGTTTTGCTCAAAGTCTGTGACGATGAAGTCGTGCGTTTCGTTCCACTCTGGGTTGGTGTTGTTGTCTACGACGGACGTCTTCCACTCGGCTTCGGCGCCTACTATGACTTTGGCGTAGCAGTCGGGTACGTCCTTGAGCTTGACCTTTTCCATCAACTTGCTGATGGTGCTCTTCTTCTTCTCGCCTTGCTTGGGAGCTGCAATGTTTGTTGCCCGGGCGATTGTGACGCGGATGAGGCCGTGGTGGGGCTGGTAGGTTTTGAAGTAGTCGACGTTGTTGTCCATCTTGACGAGGAAGCGGTTGGGCAGGACGAACATGCCCCCGATGATGCCGAGAATGATTTTCCGTACACAGTTATCGATGACGGAGAGATCGGCAATGTTTGCGGCATCGGTGAAGTCGAGCTCTAGGCTGGGTGTGTTGAGGAACGCAACCTGAGCGGCGCCGATCTGACAGTCGTTAGCATATGGTGCATCAATACTTGGACTTGGTACTTACCAGAGGAATGACATTGGTCAAGGGGCAAAGCAGCACGCTGATCCGGCCCTTCATACGAACCCTCTCGACACCCTACACCTCATTAGCTACATCCAAGCCTCAAACTCAAGTGTTCGCAACATACCACTTTAGGTACCAATTTGCCATCAAGCTCGAAGTCGCATACGCCGTCCCAGTTCAGATCCATGTCCAGCTTGATGCCATTGTTCTTCGTCTTGTGCACATCGACGTTTGAGAAGCTGATCGGGACATGACCAAAGTCAATCTTGACGAACCGCAGGTTTTTGAGGGGACCCGGAAGAGTCGAGGCGAGGACAGGCTCGACTGATTCCTTGATGATCTTGGAGCCGGCAACACAGATGTTGGGCCAAAGGTTCGAGACAATATCGTTAAGAAAGCCTGTTCATTGTATTAGCTATGATGTGGGCGGTTTTGATTAGTCTACCGATGACGACGACATTTTGAGTATGGACAGCTCATAGCCGGAGGACATGTAGTAGCGTCGTCGATCGGGAACCATGACGATGCTCAATGGGACCCTTACCTGCTGGTTCAGCACCTCCAGACGCAGTCAGCTGCTCAACAAGCGACGCAGGAGCCTGATTCGCCATCTTGACTTCTCTTTGATGATCTGTACCGAGATATCTGTCTTGGGAAGTTTCGCAGGTCAAAGGTTCTCGTTACTGTAGAGATTGCAAAGGATCAAGAATGCAGGTAAGTAAAGAGAAAGAGAGAGCAGGATGTTGGAATCGAGAGAAGCTTAAGAAAGGACAATCACTCGATGAGCGTAGCTACTTGGACTAATTTAACCCCTCTCTCCCAAGACCACGCACGCTCCTCCTTCTAACACGTACGTTGGCCGCCCAGTTTCTTGCGTTGTTTACTACTTGACGTCACGGTACTTCTCAAACGCCCAGTGCTGCAGGTGCGGTGCTGACGGTGGGTTGAACCCCGCATGTGGCAGTGTAAGCTACGTGAGCCACAGTTTGCACGTGCTGTGGTATACCAGCCACACTGTTGGGTTACTAGTACTAGTACTAGTCGGTCGGAGGAGCAGTTGCAGTGGGATCTCTTGCTTAGATCAGCGATGTCTAAATCCCTACATCCGACATCCCCTTGACTGTAAATGGCTCTAACTCATTCTGTATTCTCATGCTTTTACATCACGCAACTTCGTGACTCGTCGCAAATTCCCAAGAATAAGGTTTCCGAATCAAGTTTTTTTCGGTAACTTATCATGCCACATGGCGCCATGGCTTTCCTGCGTTTGCTTTTCCCTCTTCTTCTTACCTTACCCCCTCACTCATGCATGTACATAACCGTGCCATGCATCAGAGTAAACGCACTGAATCGATCGCACCATGAGGCTGACGGCTTGACTAAACAAGCCACTAGCCAGCGAAAAAGCAAAAAGGAGAACAGAAAACACGGACCCCCTGTTGTTGCTTCGGTTACACCGAACGGTTCTCCGCAGCTGCGTTGTGGCTGAAGTATTATGCATGCAATAAACGAATCGCGCATGAGCTGTGATGTTTGCTTTTTTTCTCGTACTTCAGCCTCTTGGAGATGATGCGGCTGAGATTGCAGGGGAGAACGAGCGGGACAGGAATGACTTTGTTGTGCCGACGTTCGGGCTGGACGGGTGGCTTGGGGTGGTTATTCTGACTTGGGTTTTTTTACCTGCTAAGGCTATGTAGAGATGGGTAGGGACATTTCGGGGCGAGCTGGTGAGTGATGGTTGCGTTTGAGTAGAGATACACGACTTAGGATTAGCGAACGGAGGTCGGACAAGGGGTGAGCTGGTAGGCAAGTACGTGCGCGTGGTATTTTATTCACTCGATAAATCGCACCTCAACAGGCATAGGAAGAGCTCGATAACATGCTCGTAGAACTTCCGCCCTCCAAATACACTACTTGAGACCTCAAGGCGGTATCGGAAGACCATTCGGCTTCACCCCATCACACGGCTTCTCCAACTCACTCTCTTCAATCCCCTGCACAATCTCCCCATCATACCCAATCAGTACAGCCTCACCACTCGGCGTATAGGCATTCCACCCCATTTGCGGTAGTCCATTGACAGGATCCTTGGCAAATGCAAGATAATAATCCTGCACCTTCTCGCTCACTGCCTTTTCAAACGCAGTACCATTGCCTCTCACAATGCCATACGTACCAAAGTACAACGGGATATCAGACGAGTGATAAGCGCCCTCCCACGGTTGCGGCGAGATGTTACTAAAGTTCCCGGCGTAGAGATAGCGAAAAGTAGTTGCGTTTGCTGCATAACGATCGTACGTCGTCTTCACAGCCGGGCAGTGGAAAATGGTAGCAGTGTCCGCATCTGCCAACGTTGTGTTGACTCCGTAGGTTCGATTGTAGGGCTGAAACGCAGTACCTTCGTCGTTTGTGTTGCCGATGATGGCTGGTTTGCGCGAGAACTTGCCTGCCAGGGCACGTGCCGTGTAGTTTGAGTAGAGTGTGCGGTTGTCGATGACGGGCAGGAAACTAAGACTAGGCTGCGTATTTCTGTCGGAGTATTGCTTGAGATATTGGGTTATGGAAACAGAGTCCACGCCCCTGAGACAGTCGATTTCGGCTTGGGCGGAGGGGCTGTTGCAACCAAAGTGGTGGGCAACAAAGGTGAAGTTTGTTTGCTGGACGTCTTCGCTGTTGATGCCGATGAAGGTTGTCCCGGAGTTCATGATGAGTCCTGATACGATAGGGTCTTCGGGATAGGCGAAGTTATACCCGTCCACGGATGATGCACCTGCGGATTGACCCCAGAGTATCATGCGATTCGGATCGCCGCCAAAGTTGCGGATGTTGTCACGGACCCATTCTACCGCTAGACGCTGATCTAAGAAACCCAAGTTCTGCTCATCATCTGCAAGCGATTTGGCGTTGGGAAAGCCGAATATGTTGACACGGTAGCTGAGGTTTCAGTCAGCACTATAGCGTAGGTGTAGGTGCGATGGACAGCTTACCTGATGGCAACAACAATATGCTCGCCAGTCCTCTCAACCCATCTAGCGGGTATCTGATACGGGACATTGGCGCCACCACTCGTGTACCCTCCTCCATAGATCCAAATCAAAACCGGTAATAGCTTCTTTTCGCTTTCGTCTGTACACTGTTCCAAAGGCGCCCAAACATTGAGATTCAGGCAGTCTTCGCTCTGGTATTCCGGTGGCTGAGTAAGGAACTCCGGCGCATCAGTACGCCACACATTCGACGTGTTGCCCTGAGCCTGAGGACAAGCAGGGCGCAGAGCAGTCGCCTTGATAGTCTGATTCTCCCTGCACTTCGGAGCCGGAGGGAGCCACCGACGTGCCCCTACAGGCGGCTCTGCAAAAGGAATGCCCAGGTACTGTGCAACATTCGGTGTGAGGTCATCAGTGAAGCCCTGAACAGAGCCAGAAGTTGTTTCCACGGTCAATGAGTCAACGGCAGCCGAGCGGTGGAATTGGGCCAGGCCCAATAGGAGTGCTATAGCGAGCATCATGATGGAGAAAAGACGGGGAACACCCCAAGCACCACGACCTCCTCTGCCTTTTGTAGCCATGGCAGTTGAAGCGTTGTCGATCACTACGCTCTAGTTGATCGCCATGTTTCCCACGGCGCGGGGGCCCTCGCCATTACCACCGGGGACCCAATCAAGACGCTACGAAACAAGTTATCTCCGGACCTCGACGTACAAATTCGGGAAGCAAGAGTCGTTCTATTTACGCGTTTAGGCACTATAGACCAAGGCGCTGACCATCGATGACGAAAACCCGGGATGGAGCGGCAGCTTGCTCGGTGACATTAATGAGATGAGATAGGCTATACTACTACAGCCCCCAGTCCCGTATACACTGACAGATGATTATAAATCATGCGGACACACTCTTAGAGCCGATTGATGGTAATAGCTAGCTCGTCCACCACGGTGACATCCTAACAGGAGCGTTTTTCGCGAAAGCTGCGACCGACCTCGGATGCAAAGATCCGGGACAAGCGCCGTTCCCCACACTTTGTACATCGGCCTCAACACCGAAGTCTGCAGATGAGTATAAGTTTGCTGCCCATTTCTGCAAACGCATAGTTAGAATAGTGATGTACATGTAAAATCTAAACATCTTTTTCCTTAGACAAACAATAAATAAATAAACACATCCCTTAATCCCAAAACCCATCAACACACCCCAGGAACACGAGATCCTTCCATCAAGAAACCCAACCAACCAACCCCAAACATGAAAATCCTCATAACAGGCGCCTCCGGCTTCGTCGGCCAAATCCTCGCCGCCAAACTCCTAGAAACAAAAACCGCAACATCCCTCCTCCTCGCCGACGTCCACAAACCCACTCCCCCCTCAACCACAACCACAAACATCCCCATAACATGCATCTCCGCCGACCTCACCTCCCCAACCGCGTGCCAAGACCTCATCGCCCACTCCCCCGACGCAGTCTACATCCTGCATGGCATAATGTCGTCCGGCAGCGAATCCAACCTGCGGCTCGGTCTCAGCGTAAACTTCGACTCAGTCCGCACCCTGCTCGACACAATCGCCACGTCGCGACCGGGCATCAAAGTAATCTTCACCTCCTCGTGTGCGGTATACGGCCGCGCGGCCGTTGCGAACATCGCCACGGAAGTCGATGTGGTGCCCATGCCGGAATCCAGCTACGGGACGCAGAAACTCATGATCGAGTGTCTTGTCAATGATTACTCGCGGCGGGGACTCATCGACGGCCGCGCCGTGCGGTTACCGACTGTTTTCGTGAGAGCGGGTGCGCCGACGGCGGCGGCGTCCAGTTTCGTGTCGGGTATTGTGAGGGAGCCGGTTCATGGGGTTGCGGCGGAGTTGCCCGTGGATCCCAGTATAGGTATTTGGCTGACGTCGCCGCGGACGTTGGCGGCGAATTTGGTGCATGCGGTTGGTGTACCCGGGGAGAGGTTTGGCCATTTTAGACAGGTGTTGTTGCCCGGGTATACGGCGACGAGTGGGGAGATTTTGGACGCGTTGGAGAAGGTGGCTGGGAAGGAGGTTAGGGCGTTGGTGAGGGAGAAGAGGGATGAGAACACACAGAGGATTGTGTTGAGTTGGCCGGCTAGGTATGATACGAAGAGGGCGAGGGAATTGGGGTTTAGTGAGGATGTGGGGTTAGAGCAGACGATTAGAGATTTTGTGGAGGGGGTTAGGGGGAAGGTTTAGGTGGGGGTGGGGGGTGATGAGAAAGGGAGTAGGGTTTTTTGTTATGCCGTAATCATATATTGCTGTCATTTAACAATCAGATTCTCTCAGTTATCAATTTAATCCACAGACCCCAAAAAAATCACGCCTACCCTTCTTGACAACTTCTCATATCTCATGACACATCTTAGTCCTTCAGACCACTCACATAGTCGCACCAGCGGCCGTGTCTCCATCCACATCCAATATGGCCGCCTCCTCCGCATCCTTAGGTTTGACCAACTTGATAGTCACCTCGGGGTCCAAACTATACACCCTCAAGCCCAAAATACAGACTGCATTCCATGGTTTAACCTCTTCTTTGGTGGGAGCGGGCTTGGGAGCTGAAGGAGGCTGAGTGGGGGTAGGTTCATCGCTTGTAGTCTGAGTCTGAGTCTCACGAGAATGAGGAAGTATTGCCTCGTTGTCAGCGGCAGCAGTGTCATCGCCCTTGGTTCCCTCTTTATCCTTGCTTGAGTCGACAACTTGGACTTCTGTCTCAGGCTCCGTCGTAGAGCCTGAGGATTTAGCCGTGACAGTGGCTGTGGCGAATGAGTCCTCTGACTTATCAGAAGCAGCCGATGTGTCTTTCTTGTCCTCGGGACCTTCAGCGGCATCCGTTTTGGTGACAGGCTGCTCTGTTGTAGTCTCACTATCCTTGGACTCTTTCGTATCGACTGACCCCTGCTTACTCAGCTTCTCCTCAATCTCCTTCTTCCACACCTCCAATCCCTCTGTTGTTTTCTTCTTGAAAGTTTCAAAGTCTTCCTTCTCCTTCTTTGCTGCTTTCGCTTCTTTTTCCTTGACTTCAGCAGCCTCTTTATCGGTCTCAAACGTACCCTTGGCATGGGCAATGTCGTAATTCAGCCCAATCTGTCGTAGCTTTTGTGGGTTACTGGTAGCAAGCTTTTTCACCACTTCATAGACTTCTGGCTTTTGCGCATCGCGTGACGCCTCAATCTTGGGTACGACTTCGTATATGCCTGGCTCGAGATTGGCTTCGGCCGAGATGGTCCGATCGTCGAACCAGGCGCCACGAGCACGTACAATGTGATCGCCTGGTCCAGCATCCTTGCCTTGTAGTATGAAGTGCAAATCGAAATGGTATTTGCCTTGGATACCCTTGAAGTAGCGTTCATCGAGCTAATGTCATTAGCAGTTGTAACTGAGAGTGACGACTTGAACTTTACCTGGCAGAGTACGAAGACAGTGGGCCCAGACTTCTTGATCTCAACTGAGAATTTGGTGTCCATATAGCCGGTTACCCATGCCACTGAAACGCTGGTCCAGTGCTGTACAACAGTCCATGTGTCGTCGAACAGGCGAGTGCGATCAAGCAGATCAAATCGCTCGAGCATCTCTTCGTACGACATCCAGAAGAGACCGTCATCTCCGAATTTGTGATCGAGCTTCTTCAGCCAATACGGCGTCCACTCACGAGACCCATCCGACCAAGGACCTGTCCACTCGCCCGTTGCGGCATCAGCTCGGCCGCCCCACGGATTGCGTATCAAAACTAGTCTGTACTTCTTACCGTCTTCGCCCTCCTCTTCCACAACCTTCAGTACTGAGTAAGCATGCTCCAATGCTAGGCCTTTCAGAGCGCTGGTGTCGTCACCATAGGCAGTTAGCGAGGAAGCAGAAAAGAGGAACTTCTTGCCCACTTGAAGCAACTCGTTCCAAAGGGATTCTTTACGTAGCACGCGATTGGTCAGGATCTTAGTTGTGACACCTCCTGTCAGGTCTTCAACCGCTTCGCCGCTGTATCCCCCTGCAATCGCATCATAGTCGCCGTGCACTATGTGACTGTTAGTCATCTACATGTCAAGACATGGCACACTGGAACAGCTCGCCCAACTCAACACAAGAAAAACCACTTGCCCTTTGCGTATGCCTTCTCAAGTAGGGGTAGCCAGGTCTCGTTCTCATCCTCGCATGAAGCGAAATAGAGAGCTCTTGATCCGGTCTGCTCGTTCTTCTTGTACTTTATCTCTTCCGTATTCGTCGGATCCCATCGATCGCCCCGTGCAGCGCCGAAGTCACTGCTGCTAAGGTAGAGGTTGTCATCAACGACCGTCCAGATCCACTCGCCGTCTCTATAGAAGACAAAGCCATACACACCGCATTCTTCGTCCTGCGCGACACAGATCTTGTCCATGAGGGCGGGATTGCTGCATATCGTTGACACTGCAGCGATGAACCAGCAATCACATGAAGAACCCTGTTTGAGGTCGGAGCTAGAGAAGCCATCGACGGCGAACTTTGGATTCTCGAAGATTCAGTCCACGCGGTGCACAGATCTGGGACCGTCTCCGCTGTTGGAAGACTGGCCGTTCAGTAACTTGGCGGTGGCATTGAATTCGAATCCCAAGCCGTTCGTCATCAGTACCCCACTTTTGATAAGAGTTGACAATGCGCTTCCTACTTGTGAAGGGCTGACTGATGGTGATGTCGTCACTTTGTCTTCGTACCAATACATGAGGCCCTCCAGGCAGTTCTTGTTCCCCAGGTTCTCAATGTCAAAGTCTTGATCTGTAAACTTCTCGTTTGTACGTACACACTCCTTGACGATGCGTTCAACGCGAGCGCGACATTCTGCTGCGGCTGCTTCGTATGACTCGTTTGCATTCTTTCCAGTGGAAGTACCCAAGTTGCGTTGTGGGGGGAGAAGATGGGTGTAAAGACTCTGTGGGAAGATCTTGGTGACCTTGGCTGGCTTCTTCGTGATAAGGCCGTCCCAGAATTCATTGATCATCTCTTGGGGTGACACACATCTTTTCTACTGTGAATGGAGGTGTTGAACACATCATGGGTAGACTTACGCGGTAGACCCGTCACTCCCTACCGTATCATCGCTACTCACAGAAGCCATGATTGCTCTTACCTCTACAGGTGTCTGAGGTGACACAGCGGTTGTATTTCTTGCTCAAAGCTGCTTCTGACCTTGGGTGATTTCTGAATGAGTCTGCTTCATGCAGAAGTGAGACAAAAAGACCGCAGTTCAGCATGTGAGAAATATGAAAACTAATCGGATCTTTCACGGTATTATATATGTATCGCTAGGTTGGGAGCTGAAAGCGCCATGTCCTGTTGATTGGCTGCTGATGGTTGTGTGCGGCTGAGTTAGACGTCGTGACTGGCCCCGAGTGAGTGGCCCCGAGTGAGTGGCCCCGAGTGAGTATTTGACGCATGCTAATGCGTATAAATGGGGTGATTAGAAAATCCTGCCGGTAGTTTATTTGTGTGACTGTTGTGGTGCGTATAAGAGGTGTGTTGCAGCGCTAGGAGTGCTTTCTCTTGGAACACAAGGCAGTATCGTGAATCCGCTGTGCAGACGAGCTGACGATGAATGAAAGGAAACCCGATCTGATAACGTGCGGGACCAGTAAGCTGGGCACCCTACCTAACCTGACCTGACGCTCTACGCAATTGAGCCACAACAACGCAATAATATTAGATAAAATTAAGAGATATAATTAATTATCTAGCTCTGCATGAATTCCGAGTATGCTCTTGAACGTGGCACTTCGTGCACGTCGGCGGCGCGCGCTGACGTCGCTCACCAGTCTGGTTCTGGTCACCCCCCATAACTACCCTTTCTGCCTCTGTAGCTATCTGCTGAGCCTGTTGGGCCTGGAGCACTCCACTAGAAGCAATATATTGACGCTGTTGCTCCTGCTTTTGTCGTTGGCGCTGATTTTCTGCACGTAGCTTCTTGTTCTCCTCTGCAAGAATTACTGCTGATTGCATTGCAAGCTGAGCGCTTTTAGCAAGCTGGCGTATCGCAACGCTTGTTGGGCTCTCTGATTTCCGGCGTAGCCGCTCTTGGAGATAGCGCACCTGCTGCTGAAGCTCTGCTACTGTATGTGGTGTCTCTGTCTGCGCTGCAGCGCAGGCTGCAGCGTTATTATCTATAGTTGTCTGTGGCGGAGACGGTGTCCTGGCTACTGTAAGTGACGACAGGACGCGATCGGGACAAGGAGGGACAAGGCCTGTTGCTTGGAAGCCTGCCTGGATGTTCTGCTGCGTAAAAACTATTGGCCGGATCTGTTGATAGACTGTAAGGAAGTCTATCTTGTCAATGTGGTAGACGCCTTGGCAGGCGAGCTTCTCAATCTCACATCCGTACGCCCGCTTGAGCGGCGAGAAGCAGCTAACATCAAGCGGCTGGAGAAGATGCGACGTGTGAGGCGGCATGCAGAGATTGATAATCTTGTTCTTAGCGCAGTACTGGTCGAACTCTGGCGTAGCGTGGCTGCTGTGGCCGTCTAGGACAAGGAGACGGTATACCCTAGCTGTACGAGCCGCTGTATAGTGATTAAAGTGCTTCACCCAGTCTAGTGGGAGCCTATTGTACCAGCTGCTTTGGTGGACCTTGCCAGACAGGATCACCAACGGTGGCAGACACCAGCTAGACGCGTTAACGCACTCGATCGCTGTAACCCACTCGCGATTGCCTGGCTGTACGACAACTGCTCGGCCGACTCTTTCAGAGCTTGTGACTACCTTAGACGTGCCAGCGACGCCTATCGCGAACCTAGTCTCGTCAAAGTTGTAGATATCTTGGTATAGGACGCCGTACGTCTGGCGCGTCTCTTCTACTAGCTTAAACTAGGGTGCGATTGCAGTAGGGTCCTCATATTCAGCCCGCTAATTATTAAATCTCCTGCTCCACTTTGTCTGAAGCTCTGGCTGGCTCTGGACAAAGCGCGGCACCCACTTCTTGCCAATAGGTTGTGGAGGTGGATCTTGGCCGCGCGCAGCGAGTAGAGCGTCTGCCATTCGTCGTACGTCAATAATATGAGGCGGAAAACCGCGTCGGTCAAGGTCTAGGATCCACTGTACGAGAGACTGCTCTTCAATAGGCGATAGCTTGCGGTTGACAGAGACTGTCTCTGATCGTGGCTGGACACCATGGATACGCGTGTGTAGTGTAGATTGTGGTATATCAAAAGCTTTTGCGAGAGCACGAATAGACTGTTTTGGATTATTATGATAAGAAGCTATAGCAAGGCTTATTCTGCCTTCACGAGAAGTCTGTATAGAGCGTTGTTGTCGCGGCATTGTGGTGGTTGTGTAGAGTGTCGGGTCAGGTTGGGTGGGGTGCCCAGCTTACTGATCTGCCCAGCTTACTGATCCCGCACGTTAACGCACGATGTAAGCACCAGTCCTAGACCGGCAATGTCAGCAGTGCAGCATGCATCTTCGGCCCGGCTGGATGTGGCGGCGTGTTCCGTGCGCTTGAGGCGGGGATGTTCGGCAAAAGGGGCAGGCACCGCCAAAACTTCACTACGGGATTCCGTCGCAAGTCCATGTCAGAAGTATTCTGTTGCAGAGGCAAAGCTGATGGTGCATGTATGAGTTATGAGGTGTATGGAGGCTCGTGCGAACGTTTCTGGACTGGATTTGGAACCTCGACCGCGGTCTTTGGTATCAGAAGTTTTGCCTCACTTCTCGAAAAGATGACTTACATATTCTTGGCAGTGTAAAGTGTGCAGAAGTAGCTTCAGCATGACACGATGTGCTTTTTGGGATCTGGACATGGCGATGGCGACAAAGAATGGTCAAGCAATCCTTTCTGCTCGTATGCGGCGAATCTATCCACTCTGGCAAATATCGCGTACGAAACGAGAAGGCGGCTCGCACTATTTCCTTTTCTCGGATTCGCACACTAACGCTGAAACATAACTCGTTCTGCACCCTTGGGAAGGAGCGTGGAAAGATGTCGTCTAGGCCCGTTGCGGTTGATCTGGAATGCGGGCTTTCGTAAAGAGGTAAGAACTGGGGGCGCTAAATGGCGGATGTGCATGACCCTGTCTTTGTACCAATGTTTCGGCGAACTTTCGAAGGCCTCGCTTCGGGGCGCAAAGGCAGCGGGTCGGTTTTCATGCCGGTTCACGTCTTCAGTGCGTAGCATGCTTGGGTCGACGGAGAATGGCGACGAAGACATGCGATAGATATTACTAGACAACGGTCGAGGGATCGGCATCACGTCAGAATGCATGGCACGAGCCAATTCACGCACTTGCTGCGGTTAATGGAAAAGCGGTGGAAGTAGGATCTGAGAATGGTATAGAATCGTCTATTAGACTGCCGAGTCATGCCGCCTCCTGGGTATGTGAAACAGCGACCCCACCTATAGGCGTCTAGATGTACAGAGAGCTCAATGTAGACGCCTGCTGTGACGCCGACGGGCCCACCAGATGGTACCAAATAGTGTATGAGAAGAAACGAAGACATTATGCGTAATGGTTTGCACCAGCCGTTGTACTGTAAAACTCGGAAATAAAAACCCATGCCGATGATGTGTGAACGTCTTCCGTGGTATAGTTTGGAAAAATCGGCCGTGTAGAATGAAACAAGTGGATGGCTGCAACGGCCATGAGTGCTCGGGCCCTGTCAAAAAACTGAAACCATGACAAGCGGGTACCCCTTTGCTTTTGTGTACTCGAGTCGTGAAGCTGATAGCAGCGGGGAAAAGTTTGCCGTTTTGAAAAAGTAGTGCGTGGGCCAAGATGGGTAAAAGACGAGAGACGGAACCGCCCGAACGCCATGCTAAAATGATGGAGCGTGATAATGCTGGTGGGAGTGGGAGCGATAACAGAAGAGATGCATGTCGAAGGATGATGGTGAATATCGTGGGTCGCCAATGAAGAGGCGAGCTGGGTGGGAACGTTCCCTGTCGCGTGCATCTGGGTACCGGGATCTCGGGTGCTTTGATCGTAGCCGGCGATCAGTGCATTCCATCTGCAGCAGCGAGTCAGCACCGACAAGTTGCATTTTATCGATTTGACCGATGGACCGCGAAAGCCTTGCACGTGGTGCAGGGCAAGGATCACGGACCTTTGAGCTTGAGGAGGAAAGTTGGGCGAAAAAAGCAAAACAAGGTCGACTTACATCATGCTTTGGCAGCGCAGGGTCGGCACGTCTTGAGCTTGCACTGATCGCATTCGTAGATGGAATTGAAGGGCCCATGATGGCAGAGGTTGCAGTTCCAGACGACGAGGGTAGTGTCTGACTTGATCAACTTGAAGTTGTGTGTGCAGCTGGCGGGGCGGGCCATTGTGAAGGTTGGTGGTCAGATGGGGTAGTAGTAGTAGTAGTAGTGAATGGATGGATGAGGAAGTAGCGGAAACGACTGTATGTGTGTTAGAAGGAGGCTTCTTGGGGCGCAGAGGCTGGGGGATATATAGGCCTCTTGGATGAAGTACTTGCCTGGGGAATTGCGGCAGGATTTGGGTCGAGGCTAAGGTAGGATTACGGGCAGGAGCTCGGGTGGTCAGGGTAGTCAGGGTGATTTGGATCGTGGCTGATAAAAGCAAGCAAGGCTGGTAGGGTAGTGGCAGGTTGCGTGTTGGTTGACGGAGAAGGAACGACTTCAGGGCTTGCTTGTTGCTAATCTGTCGACGCTAACGACGCGGATCTGTGGTCCGTCTTATACTGAGTCTGGCATATATTTGGGGGGTGGAGAATAGAGTTTGGTCGCCAGACAAGCTGACGACAAGTCCACCAGGCGTGGTAGTGTGCAACAAGCAGCAGCGAGCAGCCGTCTTGCCGTCTTGCTTTCCTGGACAGCAGAGAGCGAAAGCGGACGGCTTCGGTACAGATGGAGCAAAAGATACACATGATGGTTACACTACGAGGCGGGCTGGGAAGTCGCTCCAACTCGCCCAAGACGAGGCCCGTCTTGGGGGATTGCACGGTCGACTTGGTCCAACCCAGGCTGGCCATTCCGCAGCCGCGGTCATGGTAGTATTGTTAGGTCGCGGGACCCTGGGAGGGAGCCCTGGAGCATGGGCCGTGGGCGGTAGACTGTGTGGACTGTGGACTGTGGGCTGGGTGCAGGGAAGGGCGCGATGCGAATACTCCGAGACGATGCTGCGAGCATGTTTTGAGCGTAGCGCTGCCGCAGCCCACTCGTCACACCAAACCGTGCTTGCATACGAGCCATGCCATGAAGGAATCAGTGTCAGTGCAGCTGTGCCGTCTTCTGTATCGAGACGTTCTGGTGGACATGCGCCGCCGCCAATATGGTGCGAGGCCTGGCCGAAGGAGCTTAGGGCCGGCAATTCTGCCTCGCGCCTGCCCTCTGTACAGTAACCCTTTCGGTAGCGACTGCCTCTCTCGCCATCGCCATGGACTATTGACCATCGCCCATTTTGCCTCACCTGGATTCTTTCTTTCTTTCTTTTGCCCTCCCCCCCCCCCCCCGTGACATGTGACATCGGAGGATAATGGCGCCAATCGCTTTTGTAAGCGATGAACTACCTCGACGGCGCGCCCGTCTGGAGCCGCAGGGGCAGCAACACGGCCCATGGACTGGCTGCCATAAACGTCGGCCTGCATGAGCCTCCGCACACCGTTGCTTCTCCACCACTCTACCTGTCTTCTTTCCTTCTTTGCGTCGTCATGACTTTGCTCGTCCACTCAGCGGCCAAAAGGCCTCCCTGCGCAAGCAGCTACCACGTCCCCTCGCCCAATTTCACAAAAGTCTAGGTTTGTCTAGCCTCCGCGGTACACCTGCCCTGAGTACCGTCACCGTTGCTCCCCGTCCCCCATCCGCCCTCCTCCGTTCTTCCTCGAGCGCACATGCACATGGGGAAATGCGGTATCGCCTACTGCACATGTCTGTCTACCCCCAACCCGGTTCAGTTGGCCGCCGCGGCTACATGCAGCCTCACTAGCGTCTTCTGCTGCCTTGACTTTCTGCATACCTTGTCCAGTGTGTCTTCCCACTAAACCGGCAAGGGCCACATCAGCAATAAGCCACATGGCTTGCGGGAGATCCACTGACTAACATCGACCTTGTTTGCTTTCTGCCTCCAACAGCAATGGCGCACCCGCACCACATGTAACATGCCCCTTCGAGTTCGGCATGGCCTGACGGTCCAGCAGCATCATGTCAACAAGCCACTATCGAAAGCCTCCCCTGGCCTGGCTGACTCTTCCCATGTGTAGGATCAAACATATGCGCTCCACTTCAACTTACCGGGAGAAGCTCGGTCATGACTCCCTTGTCCATCTTGCGCGTCTGCTTGCCATTTCTGTAAGTAATCAGATCTAGCCTCATAGCTGAAGGAAACGCGGAAAGACTCGAATCATGGTTATCCTTTAGTCATCATCCTGCATCATACCATGCAATGCTTTTACCCAGCCCGATCCGAGACTGGGCCAACAGTTGCTTGCGACATGTCACCACTAGGCTCCATCGTCCAAATGGGCAGTTCATACACTGATAGCCGGATGAGTACATTATCCGAGCTCAAACACCCACTCACATAGCAGCATTCAAATACTGACCTATACCAGCAGCATAACAAATACATGTCCTGGTCTCTGTCAAAGCTCGGAGCTCGCTTGCAATATCCGGTTACACTGGATCGGACTGAACCTGGCTGTCGGTGCCACAATGCAAGATCAATACGACCATCAAGTCCGTCCGTCATTCATGGCGCCCGTGTGGCGTTCTCCGTGTGGACAGATATGCGTCATGCCCTGGCGGACTCACTACCTGTTGACGCTAGCTTTACAAACATGCCAAGACCACTTGTCTTATCCCCACGCGACATTTCGCAGTCCATGCTCTAGTCCAGCAGGCTCACCCGCTTCCAAGCGTTGTTACTGTCTGTTTGGGAACTGCTGTAGCCATGAGAATAGTAGCAATCCTCTGACCGGGTTCGTGGCTTCACATCATGGCAGTCAGACATTACTGTAACGCGACCCATCCGGCCGTCCATGCGGCTTCGAATGTGGACTCACATGGTCGCCGATGTTGTCTTACTACCGCCTGCTAAGGTTTCTCCAGTATGCATCTCCTCTCAAACCAGATGCACATATTGATGGATCGCCAAGTTGGATGCATTCTTCACATCACACCCGATGACCTCTTCACCAATGTAATCCCGTTTCATCAAACCCCAGAGTGAGGCATTTCCTTATACGGCCAGGCAAGTACAACGTCCCATCCGCTCTCACGCTCCACCATGCCCCGAACCGGGTTCTTGGGTAAGCATTCTTTGTCGACGACGTCTCGATTGGCTTACGTCCCGCTTCTGCATCACTGCTGTGTACGCCGTTTTCTGTCAATTCGCAGAAATATCCCACGCACAGCGACATTGCGGGGCGTCCCTCTGGTCATGGCACTAGGCCCGAGACCTGGTGTTCGGAGGCGAACACATACTAGTGTCCGCACCCACTGCAACAAGCAGAGCCAATCGGCGCCTTCCTTGTCAGCCTTACGAGCCTCAGCGCCTGTTTGAGGATTAAGAGGATAAAGGGGACCGCGATCATCTGCCCACTTGCCTCCCGGGCGCCATTGCTCTGTTTTGGGCATGTCCAGTGGTGGCACGAATCAGGCCATTCCATGTAAAGACGTTGGCGCCACTTCTTAATTGTTGCGCACCACAAGACTATACCTTTAATCCCCAGGCGACGTTCACATGGAGATGGCTACTCTTCCCATTTTGGACTTTAGGTACGTACCTGATATGGTAACACCAGCTCACCGCTTCGCGTCTAGCTCTGCCCCTGTGATCTTGGGGGAGGCTCAGAGACGTACACAATGCCCACAAGGTTCTCAAAAGTTAATCAACTGCCGCCAAACGGAGCTGGGCGTCTCAATTTCCACCAGCGGCCATTTCGGTTTCTTGGCATGGATGGGTGCATCCAAAATCGAGCAGAAGGGTAGCAAGGCTGTAGTGGATCGAGGTTGCAATTGACAATGGTACTTTGCAGCTCGCATGACTAATGCATCATCGTAGCAGGCGGTCTGATTTGGAAGGCATGACGCCTAGAGACCAGTTTCGAAGCATATATGGGCCCGGAAGGGAAGTAGAACGGCTACGACGCGACCCAAACGGTGCCTCCAATCGGTTTCCTCCCAGTGGGGACATGTAGCCTGAGCAACGTTCAGCATAGAGAGCACAAAGGCACAGAGTAAAGCGGTGAGCTTGTGTAACATATGTTGGAACAGAACGGGATGGACCAAATTGGATTGATACTGATCGGTACTAACGTATAGCTAAAGATGGGGCTTGAGCAAACCATATGTGTAGCTCCCTAGGACCGTCATTGCTCATGACTGCAGAGTTGACGCACCTTGAACGGATGTCCGCAGCCTGATGATTGAGAGTTTGATTGCGACATTCTTCTCAAACACACCGTACTGACTACCGTTTTCGTATTGAGCTTTTTGTATTCTCCGGTCAGCGAGTAACACGGTAGAATTTCGGTAGGCTCTCCTAGCGGCCGTCGCGCACTAGTTCAGCAACGAGCGAGTCCAGAGATGGAGGTTGATGGAATTCTGGACGGCGGTAATGAAGAATATGCATGAGACGACGCACATGGTGCATCGTGCTCCAGGTAAGAATGGTGAGTGGCCAGGGAGTGCGGTGATTTGGTCGCGTGCCAGCGCAACAGGCTTGTAAGACGATCGAATGATGCGGGCGTATGCATACATAAAGTAAAGGCATCTAATGGTCTCTTCCCCAAAACAGCGCTTCTAGTTCTTCTGGTCGACATAGTCGTCCAAACTTGACTCTTACTAGTAGTAATCTTATAGCGCTGCTCACCGGACGTTGTTGCGCGCGAGTCCGGCAAGACTGGTTGGCCGTTTCCTCATCGGGCGCTTAGTGGGGGCAGGACGAGCCCGAGGGCCGAGCTTCTCGTAGAATGTCGAACAATTTTGACAGGCCTCAACGGCACTCATCTCACCTGCAGTTTGCCCACTACGAGAACATCACTCTACTCGGACCGCCCACCATGAGGGGCGCAATCGTCTTTGGCGGCTCTTCGCACCCCAAGCTGGTCGAGGGCATGTGCGACCGACTGGGCATGAAGCCTGGCTCAGCGACCCTGGGCAAGTTCAAGAATGGAGAGACGTCAGTCACCATCCGTACGTGTCTTGGAATTGAAGCGCCATCGCATGCTAATCGGCTGCAGATACATCAATCCGCAACAAAGATGTCTTCATCGTCCAGAGCGGAAGTGAGAAGTGCGTAGTGTAGCCTTCCGTCTGCGACAATGGCTAATGGGTCAGAATCAATGACTCGGTCATGGAATTGCTGATTATGATCTCTGCCTGCAAAGGTGGCTCAGCAAAATCGGTGACGGGTATGTTTGCTTTCTCAAAGGCGCAGTGATAGATGCTAACAAGCACCAGCCGTCATGCCATACTTTCCCTACTCGCGCCAATCCAAGAAGAAGCAGCACCGAGGGGCCATCACAGCTCGTATGGTCGCGAACCTCCTTCACATTGCCGGTGTTAGCCATGTCATGACCATCGACCTCCATGCCTCGCAGATGCAGGGCTTTTTCAAGTGCCCCGTCGACAATCTCGTCGCCGAGCCCCTCCTCGCTCGCTGGATACGCGTAAATGTGCCCAACTGGCGAGAAGCCGTGGTTGTGAGCAAGAACCCGGGCGGTACCAAGCGCGTTACATCATTGGCAGACGCATTGAAGCTCAGCTTCGGCATCGTGACCACCGACAGGCGGAGGGCGGGCACAGCAGTGCACTGGAACGAAAGCGCAATGTTCGAGCAGCTGAGGCTGGATGGCGCGTATGACAAGCAAGACATTGTCGAGTCTGCGCTAGATGCTGACGCGGACACAACTCCCATCAGCAAGATGACCATTGATCCAAAGGCAGAGCCAGGCAAATCGAACCTCAAGCGCTTACCGTCGAATCCTTTGCAGCGACGGGCTAATGGCTGGTCGGAACCAACAGGAAGCCATCCGCTGTCAAAATCGATGCGAGCCGGCTCTATCATCGAGCCAGAAGTACCGCTTGAGCCAATTCGTACCGACGCCGACAAGCACGAAGAAGAGCAGGCAGAGCAGAGTGCGGATGAGAGTGCCGAGGAATACACCGACGAGGTTTGTCTCCCCAAGAAAACATAAGGATGTGCTAATGATATCAGCGTGCTCGCAACGTCATCCACGGACGTCTAGTACAAGGTCATATTGTCGACGACACACACCCTTCCCCAGCCATGTCTGCAACCTCGCACAGCACATGGCGCAACCGCGCACCGTCGGATGGTGAAAACGACGATATTCCCCCACAAATGATGTCGTCCTTCATGTCCAACGCCTCGTCATCCCGCAATAGAGAGACGGAACATTCGCACGCGTTGGGTGGCACCTACGATGCTGCTGCTTCTTCCGAAGACGAAGAGGAAGACCTCAAGAATCCCGAACTCGAGACCATGGTCACACTAGTGGGCAACGTCAAAGACCGCCCTGTCTTCATCGTCGACGACATGATGGACAAGTCCGCGTCGTGGATCGCAGCTGCCGAGACTGTCGCTAAGCGCGGTGGTGCCACCAAGGTGTACTGCTTTGCTACGCACGGCATCTTTGGAGGTGACTGTCTTGAGGAGATGAGCAATTGTGATGTTATTGAAAAGATTGTCATCACAAATGCATTCCCGATCCCCGAGCACAAGTTGGCGCAGGCGACTGGTGACAAGTTGGTGATTATCAATGTCGATAATCTCCTGGCTGAGGCAGTGAGGAGGAATCATCACGGAGAGAGCATGTCCCAACTCTTCTTGCATTACGACTAAAAAACGAGGATAACGAAGGAGATGTATCAAGGCGTACGTGGATATGATTTTACCATGATCGGTTGGCGGGATGGGATGGGTATGGCGTTAAGAAAGTTGATTCCCATGGGTGAAGAGCACCAAAAGCCTCTATGCATTATGGCGCAGAATACGATGCACGGGATATCCGACATGCTTCGGTCACACGAGTAAGTACAAACATGATCAGTTTGGTTCTTTGTGATGTCACTCATCTCGCTTGCTCTCCTTCTTCTACTTGATCAAATTCTATCAAAACACCAACGATGCAGGCCTTTGAGCCTGCAGGAGTCCCGTGATACGATACGGTGTACTCTTAACGGAACGTTGGAAGATTATATACCAGACAGAGCTCTCCTTTTTATACCCTGGTCATGTCCCATCGTGGGATGCTGGGGTTGAGAGGCTCTGTTACATCATATTACCCGGTTACGCAGCCTGCAGTGTGCTGTTCTGAGCGTCTTGTCGCTGGAGCATGTCCAGTCGTGGTGAATTTCTTTTCGCTTTCGTGGACCCGGTGCTCAATCCAAAAAGCATTATCGGGGGTTTGCATTTAGGCTTTTATCGAGACATTGGAGACGAGATGCGAAATGTTGCGAGACATCACAAGATGTGGATGCAATTTGGTAAAGCCCCACTTCATCGGTAGTCGTACAACGAATGCCCCACAAAGGCATATACCCATCTACTCAACTTCCATATTGTCAATATGGCAATGCCGCGTAGGTACATGTTGCCAACAGCCAAGGTCGTAGCCTTGATGAATGAGAGGAGCTTGGAAGGAAGGGTTCATTTGATTTTCTAATTGCACATTTGCGTTTTTGTCCACATTGTCGCGGGTCATCGGGACCTGTGCTGGGTATTGAATATGTGAGATGCAAGTATCCAGATACTCAATATAGTTTTTTTTGGTTTCTCGCCCGGTTCTCCCTTGCAGTGCGGCTATTCTAGGAAAGAGGGATATTTGATATGTTTAATACTCAGGTTGGGTTACTTCTTCACTGCTTCTGTTCCAACATTATCACATCAACGAAGTTTCCACGGAGTTGGAAATGTATCATACACTACCCACCCTCCTGATCGCCTTGTCTACTTTCTCCTTGCCTTCTGCAGTATCGGCATCACATCCCCACGCCCTACCCCTAATAAACCCCGTGTACAACACCCACGCCGCCGCCGTCTTCCCAGCCCCAGCCCCAGCCCTAGAACTTCCCACCAACAACAACAGCACAATAGCAGCAGCAAGTCGCCTATCCCCCCGCCAAGCATCCCCCGGCCGCTGCGGCGCAGACTACGCCAACCAAATCTGCACAAGCAACCAATGCTGCTCTAGTTTCGGATACTGCGGGACGGAGTTTGAGTTTTGCGGTGAGATTGTGGGGTGTCAGCCGTTGTTTGGGAGGTGTGGTGATGCTCCTATATCCACTTCTGCGTCTACGTCTACGTCTACGTCTACATCGGTGAGCACGACTTCTACGACAACGCGTACAAGTACAAGTACAAGTACTACGACTACCTCGTTACCAACCCTAACACCCAGCACAAATGGCCAATGCGGAAACTCCACAACATGCGCCGGCTCAGCCTTCGGACCATGCTGTTCTGAGTACTTTTTCTGCGGCGACGGGTTGGCGTATTGTGGGGAGGGGTGCAGAGGGGGGTTTGGGAGATGTGGGGGTTTTTCGTCGTCGGTGTCTTTTAGTTTTACTTCGTCGACGTCTACTGCAGTTCCGACATCCGCCTCAACGACGACTACGCCCACGTCTTCTTCGCCGTCAACTACGACTGCGATCTCGACGACGTCTTCGACAGCAGCCCCCATACCAACAAACGCCAGTACAAACGGTAGATGCGGGGCTGATGGGAATGGACAGACTTGTACGGGCAGTCGGTTTGGGAGGTGCTGTTCGAGTTATGGGTGGTGTGGGGATGGGAGCGATGATTATTGTAGGGTGCTTTGGGGGGTGTCAGGTTGAGTTTGGGGTTTGTACTAGTTAGGTGGGTGGAGGTGGTGGAGGTGTGATAGGGTGGAAGGATGAAGAGGGAGGAAAGGGAGAGGGAGATGGAGGGGGGGGGGGGGGAGAGGGAGATGGGAAGTTTGGAAGAGGGAGTTTGGAAGAGTGCGGTGATTAGTAAATTTTTGGAAGAGGCTGTTCGGGAAAATTCGTTGATCAGCATCGTACGGGTGGTGGTCTGGCTAAGAGGGGCAGGAGAAGTTAAGAGAGCATGTGAACAAAAAGACCAAGGTCGCACTGAAGATTAGTTCCTCCTTTTGCCAATGTACTTTCGTAAAGAAGCTTTAGACTTCTGTCAAACACCTCATTCCCTTGACTGATAGATATACTTTTATCTTTCACCCATGCCTTCACACTGCCAGCGTGTCATGCGTCCAGGTACCTCACTAGCACCCCCCTTTCCCTCTTCCATCCCCCAAGTACAACAGCTCTGAAACATATCTCATCGGCCCTTGGCCACCCAGTGGTACTTACTTCCCGCAGTCACGCCAGCGCAATCTCCCTCCTAGTCCCGTCCACGGCGAACCAGACTCCGCAACAATCAATCGGATCGGCATGATAGGTTAAAGGCTGCCTAATGAAGTAATTCTTTAACCTATATAGGAATCAATCATGTCAATCGATTGATTGTTGCGGAGTCTGCGGCGAACGCCACAACGGCAACAACCGCTCGCCACGCGCATCTCCTAGCGCCTTCACCAGCGCAAACGAAGAATTCCACATGATGCAACCATAACTTGTAGCTCCGTTGTGTCTGTCAAAAGCCAAGAGGGTCTAGACACATGCAGGAACAAAGAGGTTAGTTGGGCTGGGCTAGAAAGCAGAGGGTACGCCGTCGGACTTGCTGCCTGAGTGGACGGAGACTAAGGAAGGCTTTCTCTAGATGTGCATCGGAGCGTTTATAGCGGGTTCAGTTGCTTTTTCGTCGGTTCTTTAGAAAGAGGAAAAGGGTCTGGATTTTAGATTTTGGGGCTGAAAAACAAAGACGACGGTGATGTTTGTCCAGGGACCTGGGTTTGGGGAATTGAATCTGTATGGATCTGGTTGAACGTTACCTTTATCGATTTTTGTCACACAGTCTCATGTTAGGACAAGGTCCTCCAAGAGAAACTCGATGTTAATATGACCAATTTTCTTGCACCAGAATCGTAAGATCTTCCTTCCTTCCCTTCCTCCGACTACGCACCAACAACATAACCACGATTCCCCCTTCCATCCTCCATGTAACCCTATTACTAGATCCGGTCGGGCAAACGTACAGGACTCTAGCCATGTTGCGGAGTTTGTTGAAATGAGGCAGGTGCGCAGGCGGGCACCTCCCCATTGCCACGTCGTCGCCATCTGGACCGAGGCAGGCTGCTGCACCGTAGCTCCCCCGTACCGGTAGCTCCTCCTGTCACGATAGTTAGCAACAATAACACACCAGCCCTAGCATGCAACTTAGAACGACGACGTCAGACGGCGAAGTGGGTAAAAACCGCTGATCTTGTACCAGATGTGGCAAGTCTACGGGTACACGGCCGTTGTCCACGATTGGCGCCACAAAGTACCTATCCTCTCCCATTGGCCCGGCTTAGTCTGGTTCCGTTATGCGCGACCCCTGAATAACTACCGCGATCGACATGGGACGTATGTAAGTAGACTGGGCAGATAACTTGTTTGGGAACGTGTAGGCATCCCGTGGTGTATGTCGAGTTTGGGGTCCTATGCCCACCTGTTTACGGCACGGACGGGTTGCTGGCGCGCTTACCGGGGAGAAGATATTGGCTGGGTGATGTATTTCCAAGACAAAGTCGACCACATGTGCATGCATCATCAGCTGAACTGTGATGGCGCGGATTACTAGACTACTTACCCCAGACGCTTGGTTCAACAAAGGTTGTGCTCGGTTTGGAAATGGAAAGGTGGTAACGTGCGAATCATAGAAGGAGGGTTCGTCAGCTACATGGGCCGCTAGAGGCCGTTTTAGGTTTCTGGCATGGAGATGAGCGGCACTTGGAGGGACGCTATTCACTATATTGATACGTCTAGTAGATCGACAGCGGGGTCTTGTGCTGGGACAGTGGCTTTGACCGCGGCTTCTTTTGCACGACTACTACTTTGAGTAACAGTCCGTCATTCATCGCGTCAAGGGTCCTGGATATGTCGACACCGATGGCGGCCGGTAACGGGGAGAGGAAGCTATTTGCATTTGTAGCATGTAGCCTGGGTACTTATATAGATGGCTCTCTCGCTCGATCACTTTGATCTCGACACTTGACTGTCAGCCCCTTGAGTTTCCCATTTGTAGAAAGACAAGATGCTCTTCTCTTCTTCTTCACTTCACTTGGCGCTGCTTGCCGCGGCACCACTGGCAAACGCATGGCCGACGGCTATCTTAGATGCCGCTGGTCATGATCCTGAACTCCTGAAGCGAGCAACCGAGGCGGCGAGGCTCATGAAGGGTCGGCAACAGGGTATCGGTGCTGTCACTGCCGTCTTCGAACCCGTTCCCATCTTCAATGCTCGGGCACAGTACGTCAACGTATCTAGGGGCTCAGGGCACGAGTATGTTGCCCCTGGACCAAACGACCTCAGAGGACCCTGTCCGGGTTTAAACGCCCTTGCAAACCACGTATGTGACTCCTAGAAGACTTCTCCATGGAGGTAACAACACTGACAAACCCTAGAACTTCCTTCCACACAATGGCGTCGCCACTGTCACACAATACGTCGAAGTGACCCAACGCGTTGTCGGCATGGGCGTCCTCCTGGGAACCTTCCTGACCGTCCTCGCCGGCGCCCTAGACGGCAACATATTAACCTGGTCCATGGGTGGCACACCACCGGGTGTCCTCGAAGGCCTCCTCGGCGGAGCCCTCAACGGCAACGGCCTCAGTGGTTCCCACAACAAATACGAAACCGATGCCTCACCCACGCGGCCCGACCTCTACCAAGGCGGCAACAACTACAAGGTCGTGACATCTCAGTTCCAGGAACTCGTCGACATGTCCCCTGGAGGTATTACAATGGAGAGCCTAACAGCGTTCCGAAACCGTCGCTTCGATCAGCAGGTTTCTAGTAACCCGTACTTCTTCAATGGCCCCTTTTCCGGTATGTTGGTGCAACCTGCAGCGTACACCTTTATCTACCGTTTCATGGCCAACCATAGCGCTGAGCACCCCGCCGGTATTTTGTCGTCTGAGGTGCTGCAGTCATGGTTCGGTGTCCAGGGAAACAGCGGTAACTACAAGGCTATTGTGGGTACTGAGCGTATTCCGGATAACTGGGTAAGCAACATTCCATTCATTCATTCATTCACCCGACTCTCCTTCTGTCTACCACGGAATAATTCCATCATGATATGACCACACACTAACACCCACCCAGTACCGCCGCGCCATAGAATATCCCTACGAAACTACATACTTCGCCGCCGACGCCCTCGCCGCCGCAGGCCTCCATCCAAAGTTCATCAGCATCGGCGGCAACACTGGCAAGCCCAACAGCTTCGTCGGCGTCAACGTTGGAGATCTGTCCGGCGGCGTGTTCAGCTCTGGAAACATGCTAGAGGGAAATAACCTCGCCTGCTTCCTTTACCAGACCGCTGCTCAAGCGAAGCCCGATCTGTTGCTTGGTGCGCTCAGTGCGCTGACGAATATTGTGGGAAACTTAATGGCGACGTTGGGTTGCCCCGAGTTGAAAGCGATTGACGCGGAGCAGTTGAAGCAGTTTCCGGGTTATCAGAGGAATCCGGTTTATGGGTAGATATAGGTGTGGATGTGGGTGAGGGGTTGAATGGTTTTATTGATAGTTTACTTACGAGTTCACTTTTTTTTCTCGATAGGAGGATTTTCCATATACGTACTCAATGAAAAGAGTGCTTTAGTTAATGTCGAATATAACTATATGTTACTACAACTCATGACATCATCCATCTCTATTCAAGTAACGTGTTGTGGGCAAAATAAATGGCATGGATCTATCCAACACAACTAAAACTATAAAACAAGCGCAACAAAACTATCTTATTTATCACGCTCTCAAGCCCTCCATAAGAGCTCCCTCCTCCCTCTTCCCCACAGCCTGAAACACCTTCCCTTCGCCCCCAATATCCAACCCCCTCTCCGCCCTCTCATACGCCTCCTCACTCCTATCCAGCAAAATCTCCAATTCCTCCTCCCCCAGAATCTTCCCCACCTCCGTACCCTCAACATCAAACTTCTCCCCATCACTCCTCCTCAACAGTCTCTGCAGCTCCTCAACCTCCTGCTCCTTGTCATTCCCACGCCCACTCCCGCGATCATTCCGCACACCACCTTTTCTGATAACCAGTTTCTCCAGCCTACGCTTCGCTTCCGCGGATTCAAGCAGTTTCTGCTCGACGGTGTTGCGCGTGGCAAAGCGGTACACGATGACGTTTCTTGTTTGGCCGATACGATGGGCGCGGTCCATGGCTTGGAGGTCTTGTTGGGGGTTCCAGTCGCTGTCGAATAGAATGACTGTATCAGCGGCTGCGAGGTTGATGCCTTGGCCACCGGCACGTGTTGACAAGATGAAAATATCCGCTGCCTCTTTGGTAGTCGAGGGCTTGTTGAAGGCGAGTATCTGCTCTTGACGGTCTGTTTGCGCTACTGAGCCGTCAATGCGGGCGTAGTTCCAGGACCGCAGGTCGAGGTAGTGACCCAGGAGATCGAGAGTTGTTGTAAATTGCGAGAAGATGAGGACTTTGTGGCCTCGGCGGATGAGTTCGGGGAGGAGGGAGTCAAGGAGGAGCATCTTGCCTGACGTGGAGACGATCGTCTCATCTGGCTCTGTCTCCGAGGCAAAGGTTTCGGTGCCATCGGTGTCGGCTTTGATAAAGGGGTTGAAGAAGTTGTAGGGCGAGTTACAGCAGAGTCGGAGTTGCATGATTGGGTTACCGAGCTTCTTCTGCATGAGTTGACGTTTAGCGATTTCAAAGGTTGCAGCGCGGATTTTCTCGTCTTCTGCGTCAGAGCTGAGCTCCTCCTCCTCTTCCTCCTCCTCTGGTTTGTCCATGTTGTCAAAAAACTCATTATCGCTGACTTCTTCGTAGTTCTTTTTTGGTCGACCTCTGCTTCTTGTCGATGCGACTGACGCCGGGGTGCCTGCACGGGACGTCTTGGCACTCTTGCTGGGTGTGTTCAACCTACTCAAAGCCTTGCGCTTGAGGCCGCCATTGTTACTGCGGATGCTGAGGGGTGTCCCTGCTCTGCTGCTTAGACCGATGCTTAGCCTCTCGACAGCTTTCTCTTCAAGATAAGACCGACTGGTGCCATCGAGAATGGCCTGGTACAGCTCTCGTTGCATGGCTGTCAACGGCGCATACAGCACATACTCCCGCTTCTTAGGCATCAAGCTTTCCACGTCCGTCTTGACTCGACGAAGTAAAAACGGCTTCAACACCGCGTGTAGCGACTTGACCAGGTATTGCTGCCTCTCTTCTGAAAGTAATTGTTCGAAGCTCGACTTGTCCTTCAGTCCAGAGAAGTCGAACCAGCTCTCGAATGTGGATAGCTTGTCAAAAACCGTAGGTAGCAAGAAATGTAGCAATGACCACAGTTCCGTAAGATTATTTTGCAGTGGCGTACCAGTGATGAGCAGACGGTTCGCCGACTGAAACTGCTGCAACTCGCGAATGAGCCGGCAATCAAGATTCTTGATGCGATGTCCCTCATCGATAATGATGAATTGCCAGCCGAAGCTCGTAAGATACTTGCGATCGTTCATGCAAATCTCGTAGCTAGTGATCATGATAGGAAAATCTGCAGTCCCCGGGTTCCGTAGCCGGGTCTTGCGTAATCTCTCGCGCTCCTTCTTGTCGCCATGGTATAGCATGACAGGCAGGGTTGGTGTCCATTTCTCAAATTCTGCCACCCAATTACTCGTGGTACTGAGCGGCGCAGCGATCAAAAAGGGACCGTATGATTTGTTCTCCCACAAGTGCGCAAGCATAGCAATGGTTTGTATCGTCTTGCCCAGACCCATCTCGTCTGCCAGAATGCCATTGATGCCGTTGTTGTAGAGTGACACCATCCACTCAAGACCTTCCAACTGATATGATCGCATTGTGCCACCAGTGACCAGTTTCGGTTGTCGCGCCGACTTCAAGTCAGTCATTCCGATATCGCTTGTCTTGACATTGTCTTTGTCCTCTTCCGCCGCCTCTTTCAGCGCATCCCCAACATTCTTGTGGTCTGTCTTCTTCTCCAGGTCGGCTTTGCTGAAGTAGCTGGATATATCCGAACCTTGCTTCTTCAGCTTCGCATTGCCTTTATTGTCCTGTTTCTTTGGCCTTCCGCGACCTCTCTTTGGTGTTGTTTCAGGCTCGTCTGTCTTGGGTGCGCTCGCTGCGGATCCGCGTGTCGCTCGTCGTTGTGATTCAGCTGCCGTCTTTTCTGCATTCTTTTCACGTTTTGTAGTCTGGCCTTTTGTCTTTTCGTCTTGAGCCTGCTCTTCTTCTTCTTGCCGTTGCATTTGCGCAAGCATGACGGTCGCATACAGCTACGTTTTACTTGTTAGCCATTGTCCAAGATGCAACGATGATTCTACTCTATTCCATGTAAGAGGTAGTACTAACCTTGCTCTTGTTCATCAAAAACTCCAATTGCTGGAACTTCTTATCCAAGACCTCTCTCCCACTTTTGATATCCTCCTGTCTCTCCTTCTCCAATTGCGCGTCTCGTTTCGCGTCATCTTTCTCGCGCTGGGCCCTGATGCGCTCCTCTTCCGCTTGCAATGACTCCGGCACGTTCTTTGTATCCATGTCGGCTGGCGGGGGTGAAGAGGCAGGTGTAGATTTAGTTTCTGACGCTGCACCCGTAATAGAAGAAGCGGGCATGACGCGTTCAGATGGAATTTAGAATGCAAAGGAAGAGTGAGGTATTGTAAGTTGTGTTGATACTAATTCCAGGGGCAGGTGGCGATGAGCGCATGCGATCGCGTTCGCGATGAAAGACGACGCGCTAAGCGGAAATCGATGACGTTTTGGGAGACGCGCGATCATGCCTCCAATTACCACCTGCCAAGCATCAACACCACAACACCTGGGTGACATAAAACACTGGACAGTATGGGCAAGCACCCAATAGACGTGTCTGGCGACTACAGTGGTTTTTTTACTGGTATGTCTAGTATTTTATGACACCCGGGTCACAGCGCGTTTCTCCTGATTCTTCTGTTACATGAAGTTATCGTGACACCTATACTACGGAAAACGTAGTTCCCAGGCCTTCAACCAGACCTTCAATTCACTATAATCTATACAGTATCCAACAGTAAAAGGAAATTACCTGATCTAGTTTCCTTCCGTGCGAGATAGGATGGTTCTGCGCATCTATGTCCCTAGACCTTCAACCCGGACCTTTAATTCACTATACTAAACACAGTATCCAACACTAATTAGAAACTACCTAATCGAGTTTCTTTTCTATACTATAGAAAACGTGTCCCTAAGCCTTTACCTAGGCCTTTAATTCACTATATTAAATACAGTATCCAACACCTATCAGAAATTGCCTAATCTAGTTTCCTTCCGTGTGAGATGAGATGGTTCTGCGCATTAAACCTCCTGCGAAGTCATCACGGTAGGTTCAAATACATCTATTTAAAGCACTAACCGATAAAACACGGCATCCTCCACACTCTCGTAGTAGCTACTAATCTCCTCAAATCCATACCCTTTATACAGCTTCCTCGCCGGCGCCATACTACTCAGCGTGTCAAGTAGCATCTCTTTGTACCCCAGTTTCCTCGCATGCGAAATCGCGACATCCATCAGTAATTTGGACACGCCAAGACCGCGAGATGTAGGTGTAAGATAGAGTCGCTTGAGCTCACATGTTGTAGTTGTAGGCGACGTTGTATTCGACAGCAAAGTTGCCGACTCAGCTATAGTAGGTGTAGAGAAGAATGGTCGAATAGCTATGCATCCTATAGCTTGCTCTTTCTGTCCTTTGCTGGTGTTGGCAGGCTCCTGTTCTATTGTCGCATATGCCAACCACACTGCACCGCCCTTTTCGCTCGCATATTTCCCCGGTAAAGCCGCCAATTCGTGTTCGAAATTTTGGAAGTCGAGGCTGATGGGCAATGAGCGTGCGTATGCAAGAAATAGCTGCCCCACAATTTCTTTGTCGTCTGTGAAGATGGCGGGGCGGATCCAGACTTCTGGTCGCGTGCTTTGGGTCATGTTCGCTTGTTGTGTCTTCGCTGACTTCGTAATGTTGAATGTTTCCCGGGTGCAGACCTTGAACGAGGAAATATCCTCTAGCCGTTGCAGTGAATTGAGCAAGGCTTAATTCTTAATGCACAAGATACCCCTGGGACAGAATGTTGCCTAAAGGGCGTACCGATAACATGATCCATGGGCGAGCGGCGCACCCCACCAACTTTTGCAACTTTAAAGCGATGCATCTCAACAACGCGATAATATTATTGCTAGATATTGATACAGTAGATTACTCTATATTAATAGTATCAGTCTTGCATGTGCGCGAGTTGTGCCCAGTCTCCTTGCACCTAGTGCAGCGCCTTTGAGCCCGCTGGCTGAGGCCTGATCGCGCTCCTCCTTGACGCTCTTCATGAGCAATCTGCTGGTCAGCCTCATTTTGAGCCAGTATGTCCTCTCCAGCTCCCTTTGTGAGTACTCCATGCTTCTGTATACGCCTTTTAGAGCGCCGCCTACGCTCTGAGGCTGCGCTATTGGCCTTCTCAAGACTAGAGATCCGATCGCGCATCAGCTCAGCAGAGAGCATCATCACCTCGGCGCCCTTCTTTAGCTGGTCAATCGCCATAATAATTGAAGCTGGTGATGAGCTCTTGTGCTGGCGCACGCGCTCACGTATTAGGCTTGACTGAGCCTCAAGCTCACGCGCGTTGCTCGGCGTTTGAGCTACCCAGGGAGCCTCTGGCAGAGCTGCTGGAGGAGTAGGTGTACGCAGTTGTACATCTACCTTTGATAGAACAGCCTCTGGTTGTAGAGGAACAAGGCCTGCGCCGCGGAAGGCTGAGCAGATATTGGCTGGCGTGAACGCTTGATCAAATGCTGCCTTGAACGCTGGCAGAAACTCTAGCTTGGTGATGTGGTTGATGTGGTTGCGCATGAGGCTCTCCACCTCACGGCTGTACGCGCGCTTCAATGGCGAGAAGCAGCCAACATCAAGTGGCTGGAGTAGGTGAGATGAGTGAGGAGGCATACAGAGCGTATGGATATTGTTCTCCTTGCAGAGCTCCTGGAACTCTAGAGATTGGTGGCTCTTATGGCCATCAATAATAAGCAGGCGACGCGCGCCTACACTACGAGCCTGCGTGTGAGCGTTGAAGTGCTTTAGCCACTCAACTCCAAGCTCATTATTCGTCCAGCCATTATCGCTGACTGCGATCGCCCAGTCGCGTGGGATCTCAGCTTCCTTATACCAGGCTGATAGGTGGTACTGGCCAGCGAAGATGAGGAACGGTGGGACTGACCAGCCAGCAGCGCTGATAGCAGCGATCAGCGTTACCCACTCGCGATTGCCTGGCTGAATACTCTTCGGCCTGCCTCTCCTCTCTGCTCCTGTTATAACTAGCTGCGTTGTAATCTTGCCCATCATAAAGCCAGCTTCATCAAAGTTGTAGACGTCCTCATCGCAGATACCTAGCTCAGCCTTTGTCTCTTCTACAAGCTTAAACCACCTCTTTATTAATGTTGCATCCTCACAAAGAGCTCTCTGCCTATCGTACGCTTGGTTGAAACACGTCCGAAGACTGTCTGTACGCTTAACAAAGGTAGATGGCCAGTTGACTCCAACCTGCTCTCCACCACGCGCAGCCAGCAGCTTATCAGCCATATCACGTACAGCTGTGTAGGTAGGCGCAAATCCACGCAGATCTAGCTGAAGTATATAGCTAATAATCACCTCCTCTTCTCTCTGGGTAAGCTTCCTTGAGTTGGGCGGGCAATCGCGTCGGGCAGGTATACCAGCGCGTCGGCGGCGGAGCGTTGTTTCGGCTACGTTGTAGACTACTGCAGCAGTACGGGTACCTTAGATCTGGTGCGCATTAATAGATGAGATAGCAAGCTGAATATCTGCTTCATTTGATAGTAATTGAGTAGCGCTGCGTTGAGCCATTGTAGATTAAGATCAGTAAGGTGAGTAAAGTTGGTGGGGTGCGCCGCTCGCCCGTGTGCGCCGCTCGCCCATGGATCATGTTATCGGTTGGCGCTGTATCCACAATTGGCCAGAGTTGCGAAATTTGGTTTTATACGAAGTCGGCAAAAGGTGGAACGACCTTCTGGAACGTGCCCCACATCTTCAGCCCTTCCATCGGGCACCATCTCTAGAGGCTGTCCGCATTATCCGTCAATATATTATATATTACAGCACATTCTCCCATCAATCACGTGAGAAGCGTGTTGTACGGTCTTATGGTCTAGTGGTATGATTCTCGCTTAGGGTGGACAACCTGAGCACACTTGCGAGAGGCCCCGCGTTCGAGTCGCGGTAAGACCCGTTTTTTTTTGCTCTTTCATCTGGATGATAGCCTGCGAGGCTGCACATCTTTACACGTCATGCTCCTAGAAACAAACTGAATTTTTGCTGTTTATGCTTTCTCACCTCGACTCAACTGATTATGTTACGAACCAGTAGAAGAAACGGATGATCGTGCCACTTCTTGTAGAACCTTTTGAAAGTACTGGACGGCTTTTGAACTAATTATATACTATGCTGATATTATTGGAACAAGGTCCCTCTAGTAGTATGACTACTATGGATAACCGAGTGGGAGGAGGGACAAGGCGGGGTGGCTGCAACGTATTGTATTGACTATCGTGTTATGTGTCCACCTCTCAGGCTGTTGTGGTGGATGCCATTGCCCACCGGGCAGTGCCTGCCACACCAGCACATCATGTGACCCCCAAGCACCTTCTACCTGGACTGAACCCAGATATTCTCAACAGATATTATATTTACAAGTTAATTGTATATACACTTCATGCGCTTTGAACGACGCTCTTCCGCTGCGGCCATGCATCAACAAGACCCTCCCAAACCTTGACCTCGCTGAAAGTAACCTCACCACCCTCCACAAAGAACTCAATACCGGTGCTATCCGCATACCAGCTCCGTAACCAAGTGCTCAACGCAAACCGATTATTAGCATGAACTTCCACAACGCCGCCATCTACCACAATGGTCAAATCCAACGTCTCAACCTGCGTTCCATTGCCGCCAGCAACATCAAACAAGCGGAACTTTCCAGTCTCATTGTCATTGGCGATACCAGATGTAGTCGCCGCCGCCGCAGAAGAATTTGAGCGATCGACGATGAAGCTTTCGTTGGAGAATTGGTAGTAAATAGGTGTGGATTCACGTGCGCCTGTGAGGATATTGAAGCCAGCTTTCAGCGACTCTGAGCGTGATGGGAAAGTCAAACTGGCGGACAACATGTAATGCTTCGACTTTGGACTTGTCTTAAACTTCGTGGTCTGGGAAACTCTTCCACCAGATTGTGTGATAGTGCCAGTCGCGTTCTTCGTAAACGCAGCATAAGGTTCCCGCGCGATCTTCTGGTGCAATGTCGCTAGTGTGAGAGTACCGTCACTGTTCTCGCAGTCGATTCTCCACGAGCCCTTTTCCCGCGAAAGTTCGTTGTCGACGACGTTTAGGTAGCCGACGCTGAGTTCGCGGGGGAGAAGCAGGGAGCCGGTCCAGTTTTGCTGTGCGGTGGGGAATTGTTTTGCGGTTCCGTAGAAGTCGCCTGTTAGCCATACGTACGTGATGAAGCGATCGGGTGCGCCGCTTGACCAGCTAGCTTGCGAGTCCGCGGGCAGGACTTTGCCAGCAGCTGCGTACGCGGAGCGTCCGGAATCTAGTCTTCCAGCCATGGTGGGCTCGAATGTCAGTTTTCCGTCGACGAGGGTTTGCTTTCCAGCGGCCCAGAGCATGTCTCTGTTGTCTGAGACTTGCGGGATGATTGGCGTATAACTCCACTCTGCACCCACGGTGACGAAAGTTTCACCCTTGGGGTTAGCACCGTGCTTGTCCAGAGCAAAGTAGTTTGCAACTTCGAAGTTGAAGCCCCAACGTCCGGCCCAGCCCTCTTCAGTCCACGTCGTGTTTGCCTGCTCATGCCACCATTCGCCCAGATACTCCCATGTCTGGAACAGATCGGCATCTTCATCGTCGTATTGAGCATACAGGAACAAGCTTGGGCCTTTGCCATGCACACCGCCGGAAATGACGGTATACCAGGTCCCCTCCCGCTTTCCCAACAGGCTGTCGACTTGTGTGTTTTGGAAAACATACGGGTCTCTGAATCCCGTGACGTTTACGGCAAATGGAGGGCTAGGGATTACGGGGCCAATGTTGGACTTGGTAAAGTTCCTTCCTCCGTCTGTGGCCACGGCGAGGGATTGGGTTTCGCTTCCTTTGGTATAACGGACGGTCCATTGAATGGGTAGGTAGCTCACGCTGGTGTAGAGTAGTGTAGGTGTACCGTTAATTCCGCGCTCAATTACACTACCGTCGAACACATAGAGGGGGTCATTGAGGCCGCCTGCGCGGATGAAGGGCTCAGAGTTGGGATTCAAATCTGTGTAGGTAACTAGGTTGCTTGTTGTTGCACCTGATGCGCCGTTGTGGAGGTATCCTACGTGGAAGATGCCGGTTTTGGGGTCAGTATAGTGCATGCATGGGTCGCCTATAGATTGGTTAGTTGAGGTTCAGATTGGTATGATTCAATTCTTACCTATCTGACCATATGTCGGAAGAACGTGCGCTTTTGGTCGCCATGTGTTGAATAAAGAGACATTAGCTAGCGTGGAAAGGTTTGGCGGAGCAACGTTATAATCGATTGATCCTTGACGAGGAATGATATGGCTTGACGTTAGTCCTGCAAGAGACACCAAAATTGGTGATGTGATCTTCATGGCTGCATATAGTTCCAGAAGCAATTCGGAATATTTCTACAGGCGACATCTTGAGGTGCCTTTCTGGTACTTATTCATGTCACAATATCATATCAGCTGCGCGATGACGACAGTCAAGAAAAGGATGCTGGTTCTTCCCCGCAATTTTCCCGGGTAGTTGTTCGGGAAGAATTCAATTGGCCGAACTAGAAGCCGTTGTCCCACTGGCGAGTAAGGTACCTATACCGCCAGCCGATATCGTTGCTTGGTAGTGCAATGCGATGCAGTACTAACATTGCACAAACTTGCAGATGTCAAGAGTTGCTTCAAAAATGTGCTAAAGGCAGCAGAGCCCTCAATTGCCTGCCTCCTTCTTCTTGGGATACATGAAAAGCGCATCCCCTCCTGCAACACCGTTCAATGGGTTACCTTCTCCTTCGTTACAATTTCCCACTATCTCGTCGAACCCACATCGTAGATAGAATCTTTCAGTGCCCGGACTTGTGACACAGCTTGCGTGCACGTTCTCCTCCCTGGCGCGCTCGAGGCCCCAAAGCACAAGCTCTCGTCCGAGCCCTTTGCCAGCGTAGTCCCGGTGGACGCCGCAGAGCACGAGATACCAGTTGTTCCTTCGCTCACCGCTCCACAAGTGCGCGGCGAAAGGGTGGGAATCTTCCAGAATGTTGACCTTGTTGGGATCAACGGCACGATTTGGAGTATCAGGGAGAGGGCGGAAAGCATCTGAACCTGATGGAGCCTTAGTACAAACAGACTGCTAATACGCATGGTACCACCGAGTCTATAAAGATAGCGTATTTAGGGGATTTTGGTTTTGCTCACCAACATCAACCCACTCGTCTTCCACCTTTTGCTTTCCTGCATCATCGCCTTGTCGCTGCCAGACGGCTACCCCCACTACTTTCTCCGTCCCATCAACATTGACGGTGGAAACAAGTTGTCTTTCATTGGGCTTGGACCAGCTCTTACGGAGCTGGTCGGACCAATACGAGTTGACATCTTCTGGGTATTTGTTGCGGTGGGGGAGTATCAGGACCCAAAGCGGATCATCCCAAAAGGCCGAGGCTAGGACGGAGACCATGGCAGGCTCGTCAGATGGGGTTGCGGGCCGGATTGGCATGGCGGGGTATTGGATTGAGCTTGGTCTGCGGAATTGAAAGAAATCCCGAGAACAATGGAAGGGCTTGAGAGTAGATGCAGATATAAAGGGTTCAAGGCGACAGGAGATCCAAGGTGGCTAGCTGCTGTTCTAGGTCTGCAGCGACCGAAGATGGTTTCGCGCTAGAAGGCTCACGACGGCGTATTTCCAGCATCAAAAAGCCTTGTAGTCTTCTTCGGAACAACCCAGTCATCCATTGATAACTGCGGCAACAAGCACTACCGAGGTAGCGGTAGCAGGTAGCACGGTAATGTTGGGTTTGTTTGGAGCAAGGCGCGTTACGTCAGCAGCATGCGCTACTGTCTTCTTCCGGTTAGCTTGCCCGCGGTCCAGCCTCGTGGAGACGCGCTCTTATCCGTGGATCGTGGATCGTGTATCGTAGGTGCCTTGCCATTTCCGTATCCTCTGCCATGAGACGTCTCCTTCTCTAGTCAAGCACCCTAAATATCTTTACGTGAGCTGTCGTGTTGACTTCGGCAGATTGCGAGATTCTAAGCCCAACGCCTCCCAGTCGTTCCTACCAGTTCAACACGCTTCCAAGCTTCACACTTGCCTCTCGGCACGCCACCACTGATAGGTAGTGAATCAGAGGACCGCAGCTGCAGAGGTCTCTCTTCACCTCAGCATCCGTCCATAAATTCTCTACCCGCGCTTCAACCACCAACACTCACACTATGACTATGGCGGCCCGTCGTGAGGAGTCAGCCATGTCCAGCTTACCCAGTGGGCATATGCGCACCCAGCACGAGTATAGTTATCGTCTGCCCACGCCCCCTCGGATCATCGTTCCCCCGCCCACACTTGCGACTGATATGCCATGCCTGTCGCTACGTATCGGCTCTGGGGAGGTCGACATGAGCTTCCTAAACGAACTAGACCTCGAAGGTACCGTACAGTCAAACACGATTATGGAATGGGCATACGAACGGCGGAGGAACGCACAGATGATCCTTCCCTGGCTTTATTTGGGGCCCATGGTGGCAGCCAAGGACAAGGCGTTCCTCGAGCGCGAGGGAATCACCATGGTGCTGGCTATTCGCGCACAGCCAAACAGCATGATGGGAGCCCTACAAGCGGCTCGCGAAGTCTGTCTGGAGGTGCGCAGCATCGAGGCCTACAATTTCTACAATCTCGCGCCCAAATTCGCCGAAGCAGCGAACATTATCAGTACACACGTCGCGCGTGTCAGACAACATAACCTAGAAACTACCGGCCAAGCCACGTTCGGCAAGGTCCTAGTCTTTTGCGAGTCTGGCAATGAGAAGTCAGCCGCAGTGGTAGCAGCGTACCTTATGCAGACGCTCAAAAATATCGACCATGTCAAAGCTATGCAGGTCGTCCAAGCGCAGCGGTTTTGTGTCAACTTCGATGATGTTCTGAAAAATATCCTCCGCTCTTTTTGGGACATTGTCGAAGCGCGGCGCTCGATTACGGTGCAGCAGATCGACTCTAGCAATACATCGTCAACGAAACAGAAGCGAGGTATTGATGACACACGCGACGACGACGATATGGATATGAGTGGCGGAATGGATGCATCAGATGCACTTCGCTTCAGTGGTCGCGAGATTACTCCATTTCAGGACCGCTAGCTTCGCGTTCGAACATCCGACTGGCTTCGTTTTTCTGTATAGGCGTTTTATCTAGCATTATACCCGCATAAGCTATGGCGTTTTCGGCGATGTGAGCATGTCTGAAGGTTTCCAGGCTATTGGTCGATCAAATGATGCTTTCAGAAAGAAGGGCACACCGAGTATCGACGACACCTTTCCTAAGTATTTTATGGTAAGCATGGGTGCCAGGGACGAATGGGTTTCATCCTTCTTACATGATTATGACGTTGTATGGTTTCTTGCACCCTCTCTGAATAGTGGGGCGCAAGGATGAGTCGAAAGAGGTGGATTCATTAGAAAGGAAAAACAGCATCACGGTACAGTACATATTCCTAACATATTCTACTCTTCGCGAAAACCTAGTCTTTTCTCGTCCTCATATCAAGTTCTTTCTCTTGTACATGTGCATGTCAATGTTCCTTATGCCGTCGTACTATCATGTTAGTCATGTTTAATGGCTCCACTGCTTTTCCAGGGAAAACGAACAGGATTAATGGTAGGCTTCCGCCGACTCAAATTATTTCAAAACTCTGTAAGAACCGGCAGGTAAAATTCAGAAAACGAGACGTGATACGAGTTCCTTCCTGCGTTGGTTTATCCCACTAGCTGATTCTCGTTGTCCAGGTGGCGGCAATTGCTAACTGACCTTCACCTCGCCTTTCCGTAATTCGCCCACTAACACTAACGTATTGTTCCGCCTCATTCTCACTAGGCTCGACACGGATTACACGCATTCATTGGTTCACGGAATTTTTATTAGTGAACCATACCATTATCGTTACAGTCGCATAACATGTCCTATTCTCTGCGGCCTGGGAACAAGTTGAAGGCCCCCAAACGTTACAGGGATGCAGATGGAGAAGAGGCTGATGATCCGCCAGAGCCAAAAACTACAAAGCCTGATACCGTGGTTCGCTTCCCCGGTCCCACCACATTGAACAATTCAGGCTCACAAAGTGCAGCAGGGCTCGCTCCCCCCACCTATATTCGCAGTGCCTCGTACTGTCGGAGCCCATCACTCGATATTTCCAAACGCCCCCGAGCAGCCTAAGATGCCCAATATCAAGATGATCAAGCAAAGGAAGCGCATGCGCACCGAAGAGCCAGATGAGTATGACTCGCGCGTGCGCACCCAAGCCGGACGCGCCGTCAGACTCCACAAAGACACTGCATCTGAGTTACCGCCCGACAACTTGAGCCTCAAATCAGCGGCGTTCCCTTCGCTCCCAACAAACGTGCCACCTCCGCTACCGACTGCTATAGCAGAGTTTGAGGGGCACGGAATGAAAGAGCTGGTGGAAGCAATGAAGAAGAACGACTCGAAACGCGTGTCAGAGACCAAGGCTCGCTTTGCTCAAATGTATGCGACTAGCACATACGACTGGTATGCGGAACTGAGGGAGCGCTGGAGCCCAGACGAGAGCGACGCAACGGTAAGCCGACCATGTCTCAATCTCAACTACATGCTAACATGCTAGGTCAAATTCGAATCGCTTTGGCCCTCACTGTGCCAGACCATCATCGACGAGATTCAGGACGACTTTGCCGGAGCTGGGCAGCCCGACACCTTGTACCCAGTCCAGCGCCTCTTGAAGATCACGCGCACAGAGCTCCTCGACATCATAGAGAAGAATGGCCAAGCCTGGAACACTGACGAGGATATCCCACTGTACTATCGAGAATTGAAGCGCAGGAACCCAGATGCCATCATCGACCCCGATCAGCCTCCGCCAGCGCAAGTCGTCCGAGCAATCAAGTTCCTAAAGCAGCAGCATTTACCGGGCACTCTGCTAGGCGAATGGTCTACGCTACCTTCTGTACAAGTATTTCGCCCCCTCTCCCAGTCTCAGGTATCTGGATAGCGCTTGAACATGTGACTCAACCTACATGCAACTATCGGTGGTAACAAGTTGTGTAGATTTTTACAGAATCCCCCGAGGCAGAACGCTATCATAGCGATATAGTTAGAACTGTAGAGTCCCACGAATCCAGCGAGGCTATCGTCCAGCAGCAAGACAACGAATACCAAGCCAGACTCGAGAAAATGCTTAGTGAGGGTAACATTGCTTCTCGCCGGCTTCCCGAAAAAGACCTCAAATGCAAGTATTGTCGCAGGAAGGGCCATCTTCATAGTGACAGAAGCCGTGAGGGTCTCTTAATAGTACGTTGGCCCCCTTCGACCCTTGCATACTCTCTGTTTTGCAGACTTTGTAACATCTTCTCTCAGTGTCCCGGCAAGCGCATCGATGAAAGCCGCGAAAAACACGCCAATACCCACGTCGAAGCCGCCTTCCTACGCGATGCCGCCGAAGCTGAACTCGCTGAAACCAGACGTAAAGACCGTATCGCCGCAGCGCAGCCACCGCAGCCACCACAATGGCGGCCATTCATGCCAGGCCCCAATACACCACGGACCCAGCGTATATATACATCCTGGCTACAATGGAAAGACAGAAAAGCCGTGATGACTGACCCAGCATTCCAGGACCATACACCTCGTCGCCGTATCCGTAAGCAAACTCGGGAACAACACGCCGAGGAACTATGGAGAGAAGCAGACAAGCATCCAGGATTGAAGGTAAACCAGCCGCATATCGCCGACACAATAAAGAGATTGAAGGCAGCACATGAGAGATTGCAGAATAGTGGTCCGCTTATACAAGACTACACTAATACCAGTATTACTTCTGTCTCTGCCTCTGCTTCTTTCCCACCAAGGACAACAATATCCCCACACATGCTCTACACCTCACCCTGGACGCGCCCGCTAGAACCCCTCAAACCGCCTCCTCCTCCCGCTTCGAGCACCTCTGCAGCTTCTAGTCCCACGCCTAGTCCTAATGCTGGCCTACCTACACCCACATCCCTCCAATCCACGACCCCGCCTCAACACCAGACCGAAGGCCAACCCCAAATCAGGAAGAAACGTGGTCCCTACAAGAAGAAAATCAAGCCGGTAGCGGGGACTTTTACTTCTCCGCCGCCACGGCATAGGATCATTCGGGATGGGTTGGTTAGTTTGGCGCCGGCGGGTGTGTCGAATGGGATGAGTGGTTTTACTGCTGGTGGTCAGGGGGAGGGGTATGCGAATGTTCTGGGGGAGAATGGAAATGCGAATACCTTTGGGCAGAATGGATACGCTAGTGTTCCAGGACATGGATACGTGGATACTCAGGGAAACACATATACCACTGTCCGCGTGGGGAATGGACACACAAACGGAAGCGGAAATGGATACGCCAACTCCCCAGGCAATGAATACACGAATGGCCACGGAATCGCCAACACCCCAGGAGCCGCCTACACAAACGGCTACACACGCGCCTTAGAAGCTACATCCTCAAATAGCAACGCCATTACCTCAGTGCAGAACGGACACGCCAACTCCCCAGCAACCGGCTATACAAACGGACTTGCCAATACCTCCGCAAACGTCTCCACACACACCCCAGACTCTACATCCACATCCACATCCTCAATCACAATCCCAGTTCCAGCTCCAGCTCTAGCTCCCGTTCTCCTTCCCACCCAAAAACAGCTACCAACACGCCCTCGCATCACCCTCGGAAACACATCTGCAAACGCAATCGACGTAGATGCGCAAAACCTATAGATCCGGCGCTTTTAGAAGTGGTGAAGGGATATAGGCGGAAGAACTGGTTGGTGGTGGTGGTGTTGATTTCCTACACGATCCCGATGTTGGAATGTTGTAAATGTGGGAGACTGTTGCTATGAGATTGTTTGTGCTGGGGATGATTGGTGTGGTGTTTGGTGTGAGAAGTAGGTGGGTGTACCGGGTGGCTTGAGTAGGTGTATGGACTACTCAGAGCACAACCAACTGTTGGCATTGGATTTGGATACGGATACGCAGTTGTGCGTCACTCGCAGTCATAACGAAATGTAAGACGGAGTTGCGTAATTGGCAGCATGCCACACAGAGCAAGTCAAGCCTTTTGGCGTTGAAAATGGTTGGATATGAGTTGTGTCAGCAACCAGTAGCAGCAGCAGCAGCAGTGTCAGCGACGTAGCTTGTTAGTACCACAATTCCCTGCTGAGAATGTAGTAAGTTTACTGTAATGAAACTCCCCTCAAGAAAATCTAGATGCATTCCCATGTTCGAATGTGAAACAAGATAAAAGAAGAGGTCTCGGTAGAATTATCCAAGTAATACCATACCCAAACCCAAACCCATACACCGCGCTGCCAAACACAGCAGTAGCAAAGCGTCACGCAAATAGCCCACTAACCCATCTTCACACTCCACACACATGTCAAGACAGGAGTCCATACATGCCACCCATCTCACCGCAACAACATCCTCAGCATACTGCCCTTTGCCTCATCACCACCAGTGCCCGCGCCCTTATCCCCAGTCTTCGGTCCCACGGGACTCGTGGCCGCGAAGAAAAGCACCTTGATAGCAATTGCGAAGCCAGCATGTAGGACCAGGACGACGATGAGCAGAATCTTACTCGTTTTCGCCTCCGTGGTGCTGAGCACGGGGTACAAGTTGCGTAGGAGGAAGAAGGCGCTTGCCGCGAGACCGAGGGCGACGACGGTGTAGTTGACGACTGTGGGGGATGAATGTTAGTGATCTTATCCCAGCAAACAGACAAACAAAGAGAGATGAAAGGAGGGGAAACTCACTCCACCACGGACTCCAAGCCACCAAACTAACCGCAATCCAAACCAAATTCGCATACCCATAAAGACAACAACATTCCAACAAATTCGCACTCTCACTCCCATACCACTTCAACACGCCCCACAGCCCCACGGGCACAAACGCCGTATACCCATACACCAATCCCGCGGCTCCACTCAACAGCTTAAAATCATACGCAAAGTGCTCTTCGCCTTTACGTGCCAGATACTGATTTATCGTCCCCGTGAGGAATAATATCACAATCACCGTTGTGGCGATCCACACGGGGCCGTAGAGGTCTGGGTTTCCTTCTAGTACGTCGAGGAAATTCGCGCGCGGGTACAGGGTGCTGGTGCAGCGGCGGAGGACTTCGTTTGTGTCGACGTCGAAGGCTTGGGCATAGAAGTTTAGGGACCAAAGGTAGTGTTTTCGTGAGCTGCCGCCGCCGCCATTACCACCGCCTGAGGTGCTGGCTGTAGCGGGGCCGGGGAGGAAGGATGCAGAGGCGGAGTCGGGTTGGATTTTCGAGTTGTTGTTGCCGCCGGAGCGTGGGGTGGGTTGCGTGTCGAAGTCTGGAAAAGGTTGGTGTTAGAGGATCATTCGTTATGTTGGAACTGCCAGCGAATTGTACATACTCGAACTGTGGAATTCGAGATCTTCTTGGAGATCAGTATGGCCTAGGTCGCCCTGCAGAATCAAATGGTAAGCCCTGTAATATGACCAGCCTGTTGGGGACACTTTTGTAAGTTGTCGCAAGCAGCAAGCGACAACTCTAGTATGCATGCGCCTCTTCTAAGTCGTGGAATTGCACATACCTCTTGGTCGACGTCCACAACTACATCATAGCCTCTGTTCGCCATGGTGAAGCTCCGGTTGGGCTGGGTGGAAGCTCTTTGTGGATGTGCTGCTGCTTGCGGAGCTTAGTTTGGGTGAATAGCTCTAGTCAGCGGCCAGATTGCGGTTGACGTCGCGCGCGTCGTCGTCGTCGCGAGACCGTGCGCTAGGGTGGATTCGGAGCGGGCGCGGGTGGGCCGCCCTTCTCAGGGTCCAGTCGCCACCACCAGGACGTGACAGCATGCTCGAATAGTAGATACAGTTATACTGGGCAAGCACATGATCCTTGGTTTAAATATTATTTATTGAGAATCTCGCTCTGCTTTCAATGATTCTCATGACTTTAGCTAACACGAAGTCATTAATACATCACGAACGGGTCGTCTGATCCAAGGAGACAAAGTAGATGTTCATTATCATCATCATAAACGAGAACGTCCCTATCTACTGATCTAGGATACCATCTAACATCTACCATGAAATCCTTGCCTTGCATCGCTCCCACTCATCATTTACGGAGCAGGGTCGCTCTTGACTTGGAGCGGCTCGACGTTCCAGATAGCCTCGGCATACTCATCAATACACCTGTCACTGGAGAAGAAGCCCATACGCGCGACAGTGGTGATGGTCTTGGTAGTCCACTCTTCTGTGTTCTTGTAGCTCTCGTCAATGAGCTCCTGTGTCTTGATGTATGACGCAAAGTCATCCGATACCAGGTAGTAGTCGCCGTGATCGACAATGCCGTTGACGAGGGCGGAGAACTGATCAGCATCTCCAAATTTGCCATCGCGGATCGCGTCAAAGACATTGGCAAGCGACGGCTCCAACTCGTACTTGGAGTACATGTGTGCGTGGCGGAGGTCCTCGACATCTTCAGCAAGGTTGCCGAAAAGGAATATGTTCTGGTCACCAATCTCGCGGGTGATTTCGATCTATTAAACGTTAGTAACTCTTCAAAGACCGTTTGAGCTCAGACTTACATTGGCACCGTCACAGGTTCCAATAATCAGACCGCCGTTGAGGCAGAACTTCATGTTACTTGTACCTGACGCCTCAGTACCGGCAGTTGAGATGTGCTCACTGATGTCGCTGGCAGGGCAAATGATCTCTGCTTTGCTGACGTTGTAGTCGGCCAGGTAAATGACCTTGAGGGCATCGCCAACGTCCTTGTCGTTGTTGACAACGTCTCCGACCTTGTTGATGAGGTGAATAACCGTCTTGGCCATCCAGTACCCTGGTGCAGCCTTGCCTCCGAAGATTGAAACACGAGGAGTCAGCTTCTTGCGCTCCTCAGGGGACATGGCCTTGATTTGAAGGTAGCGATGAATGACACCAAAGATGTTCAGCTGCTGGCGCTTGTACTCGTGAATACGCTTGACCTGGACGTCGAAGAGTGCCTCTGGGTTGACCTTTACGCCATTGTGCTCCATGATGTGCTTTGCAAGTCGCACCTTGTTGGCGTACTTGATGTCAACGAACTCCTTGCGGAACTCCTTGTCATCGACAAATGCCTCTAGCTTGTTGAGCAGAGTGAGATCCTTCAAGAACTCGTATCCACCCAGCTTGGAGGCAATCAATGCCGAGAGCCTGGGGTTAGCTTGGTGCAGCCATCTTCGTGGGGTGATGCCGTTTGTGACATTTGTGAACTTGTCAGGCCCATAGATCTTGACAAAGTCCTTGAAGATGGTGGTTTTGATCAAATCAGAGTGTAGCTCGGCCACACCGTTGACCTTGTGTGAGCCGATCAAAGCAAGGTAGGCCATGCGGACCATCTTGGGTTGCGACTCCTCGATGATGGAAACACGTCCGAGCATCTCACGGTCCTTGGGGAAGTTTCGCTCGACGAATTGGAGGAAGTGCAGGTTGATCTCGTAAATGATCTGTATGTGTTAGCTAAGCCCAAAGGATTTCAAAGTCAAGCTTACCTGGAGATGACGGGGGAGGAGGTGCTGCATGAGCGGTACAGACCACTTCTCAAGCGCCTCAGGAAGCACAGTGTGGTTGGTGTAGCCAAAAGTCTCTTGCACGACTGCGAATGTGTTAGCGATGCTTTTCTCAGGGCCATGGTCTCCTTACTGCTCCACGCCTCATCCCATTCCAAGCCCTCGATATCGACAAGTATACGCTGGAGTTCGGGGATGGCGAGCGTCGGGTGAGTGTCGTTGAGCTGGATAGCGACTTGGTTGGGGAACTCCTTCCAGGCGCGCTTGCTCTTCTTAAACCGACGGACAATGTCGTAAAGCGAGGCAGCACACCAGAAGTATTGTTGCTTCAATCGAAGCTCCTTACCACGGTCAAGGCTATCCAGAGTCAGTAATAAACCCAATGACAGCCAGATATACGTACTTGTCGTTGGGGTAGAGCACAGCGGATATAGTCTCGGCGCGCTGCTGGTCGGCTACGGAGCTCTCATACTCGCCAGAGTTGAACTTCTGGAAGTCAAATTCGCCGCTAGCTGCTTTGCTTCCCCACAGACGGAGGTTGTTGCAGGTGCCGGTCTTGTAGCCAGGAACTGCATGGGTCAGTATTTTGGGTTGAGAACGACTCTAGAACAGCTTACCTGGTACATCGAAAGCAACAGCATGGACAACCTCACCACCCTCCCACTCACTCTGCTGTTTGCCTTCGTCATCCTGCCATTTGCTGACATAGCCGTAGAATTGAATGTCAACGACAATGTCGTGACGCTTGAACTCCCAGGGGTTGAAGTCGAGCCAGTAATCAGGAACTTCGACCTGGTATCCATCGACGATCTCCTGCTTAAAGATACCGTAACGGTATCGTAGGCCATAACCCCAGGCTGGGTAGTTTAGGGATGCCATGGAATCAAGGAAGCAGGCGGCAAGACGACCGAGACCACCGTTTCCAAGAGCGGCATCGTGCTCCTGGGAGACGATGTCCTCCATACGGAATCCGAGGTCGCTGAGACCCTCTGAAGACATGTTAGAGGGGCCAATGGCTGTTGTTTGGGGAGATGAGCTTACTAGTAGCAGTCTCCTTTTGCTCGACGTTGAGCATGGCGTTGTCCAAAGCTCTGCCCATGAGGAACTCAAGTGATAGATAGTATACGCGCTTCTGGTCAGCAAAGGTCTGACTCTGCTGTGTCTTGTTCCAGTCCAAGACAAGACGGTCCCTGAAGGCCAGGGCCGTTCCAGCGTATGCAGCATTTTCATCGCAGTTGAAGAGCGAGCGAGCAAGCGTCGTCTCGATATGGCGAACAGTGTCTTTGGTAAAGTCGTCTGCTGTAGTAAAGGGCGTGGGCATCTACTCGCCGCGTTAGCCTCAGAATACAAGCACAGAAGATGAAGCGGGGCAATTGACTTACAAACTTCTTCCAGGCCTCACGCTGAGGCTCTGGGATGCTCGCCTCGACAGTCTTGATATCACTGGGGCCAAAGCCAGTTACCGTCCTCTTGTGCTTTGGGCGGGTAAAGGCGGGGCCAACGGGACCTTGCAGATCAGAGAGCGGAGCGCTCGTCGAGGGCTTGCGCTCGCGGGGAGAGGGGTTCGCGGCCATGATGATATTGTGCAATTGCTGGAAAGGCAAATTGCTGGGAGAGTGTCAAGGGAAGAGGGGAGGGGGCGGGGTAGGAGGGGGGTATATAGGGTCCGGTGGGCAGGAGGCCCAAGGTACAGGGACTAGTTGCAGTGAACAGCTGCACTTGTAAGGGTGTCGGAAAGATACACGTTAAGCGCAGTGGTATTTGCACAATGCCCTCATATCACTACCACACAAGACGCTGCTGGGAGCATCAAGCCAATTGCGTGTCTGTAGCAGCCGCTTGTAGCCGTATTGGACGATGCACCAAGACTCCAAACACATCAGGAGAGCAAGCACGACTAACAGTAGGATGCGGGGAAGCAGCCCACCATGAAGCCATAACTAGCTGTCAGCGACAACAAGCTGTTGAGTTCTCTCACATGCAACATGTATGCAGCACCTCACAAACCAGACCTAAGCGGGGTAGCTTACCCCAAGAAACCGTCGCGGAGTAAGCGGCGACGACGCGACATAGGTTCTATCCAATAACCGAGTGCATCAATAGTTGTTAGTGCAAGCTGGGCGCGTCGTAGCGTGATTTCAATTGCCATGGCCAGACTGAGACCGAAAAAGACGTGACGTCGATGAGCCGAGCTTGGCGTCAGGCTGTGCGGCACACGTCTGCATACCCGTCGACACATCCAGGCCGTCATCGGACACCAAATGTGTGCTCTCTCGATACGACGTACCGCGTTACCAAAAGAACTGAGGCCATTATCGAATTTTCAAAACAACAGACGTGGCACGACTCGGCAATCACGGCCGAGCGCCCCGGAACAAGCAAGTCACTGATGTATGCAATTGTGCAAAAAAAAAAAGCCCGTGACTCAAGAGACCGTATTTTGGTATTGCACGACTAACAAGGTTGCATCAAAATAACCCGTATTCAGCATTGCGTGAATTACTACAACTACGACTGCGCACAGTCCAGACGACTTCCAATCACCACTGCGGGTATTGCGGCAAAAATACATGGACAAAGACACCGAGGCCGTCGACATCGGCCATCCTCCCACGCTATTCGAACCCCCCCCCCCAAAAAAAACTAGATGAGCCCACAGCGAGCCTGTTGTGGGTACGAGCACCAAAAATCCCTAGCCAAGTGTACGCCGAAAAACACCGATAAATGGTGAACGATAGATGCGCAATGCGACTCAAAGCGAGAAACGCCAGATATATGTGGGTATCGTGAAGAAACGCAGCAAAACGGAATATGATGACATGATCGACTAAACGAGATTCGTTTCGCATGCGACGAGCTTCCTCAAGGGCTGGGCTCGGGGGTTTGCACACCAAACTGCCAGATGGCTGCTCCTTGCAGACTGAGCGAGACGTTGCGTCGACGGTCCTTTGGGAGAGTTGTGCTTGGCGTCGAAGTGTGTGCAGGAACTTTGTTGGCTCGCTGCATGTTCTTCAGCCTCCGCTGCACTCTATCGTTGGAAATGCGGGATAGGCCATAGTCCATGTCCTGCAACATGGCTCTCTTAGTCGCTTCAATCTCTCGCACTGTAAAGGCGGCCCGGCTCTCCTTGATGCTCCAGTGCCGCGAAGACCTCATTCGATCAACGAGAAAACCATGTGCGAGGGAAAGGGCGGCCAGGACAACGACGTCGGGGCTAACGTGGAGAGTCTGTCGCGGATCCAGTTTACGGAAGTCGTTGCCGTCGCTCATCTGGTCCCCTGGTGCCAAAGCATCCCGCCACGTAGTAGCAAACCGGTTCGTCAAGGCATCCAGTATACAAGCCGAAAAGGCAACAATCTCTTCAGGAAGCTCTGCGCGGTCAAGGAAACCCTGGATAACTGATGGATGGGGCCGGTGGGTGGATACGTTGAGTGGCACAAGGTTGGCGAGGTGGATTGCGTATACTATACATAGTATGTTAGCCTCAGGTCAGGAGCGAATCAAGCAAGTGGCAATAGGGCGAGTCTCGGCAGGGGCATCTGGTAGGAGCAAATGTCGGATCGACAGGAACACCACCAAATTGTGGAGTAGGGATGTTGGGTTGGAAAAGGAGGATGAGACGAGCCATGACGTGCGTCAAGGCCGGCATAATGCAGGGGAACGTCGCTCTGCCGACCGGACCGACTCAACCACAACATGCATGTTCCATAAACAGCAATTTTGGCATGTGGGATAATAGGGTTGCAGACGTGGACTGACCTTCGTTTTGCGGAGGAATGATGTCGTATGACTGTGTTGAGGCCTGTGATGTTTGCGGTGATGATGGTGTCGATGGTCGGGCGGGTGTGGGCTCCTTTGCTGGCGGAGGCGTGGGCAGGTTCGACAGAGGAACATAACTCGCAAAGTACTTGTCCAGTTCTTCGTCCGTCATGTCGCTCGTGATGGATAGCGCGGGCGAGTTCATTTTGTTTGCGTGTTTTCCAATCTCAACAAATGCTTTGTTTTCCAGTAGCGATGGCAGCGGTATAAAGTCGTAAGCGAGAGTTGACCAGAGAGCTCAGTCGTGCAATGCAAAAGGCCAGAGGGCGACGATAGAACAGGGTCGGGAACAAGCAGTCGAGGATGGAAAGTCGTCAAAGTGGAGAAGAGCGTGTAGAGTGAGGGCATCTGCAATGCTATATACACGTGCAAGGCACGCCCAAGGAAAACCCGAGACGGTGAAAGCGGATGACGGTAGCGTTTGTCGCTAGCTGCTCCCCTGTACTTCCGTGGACACAGTAGCCGTCTCCCTGCCGTGCCACCAATTCACAGGCGCGCGCACGCTCTCCGCTAGGACCTGCACCAGCCAAGTTTGCGCTAGGTTGCCGCAGAAGACTACTGATGGCGTGTGCAGCTGGCGAAAATTGTGTACTGCTATGTGCAGCGTGAGATGCAGCATCTTATTCTAGGTCAGGTGGAACAGCTCATGGAGCCGTTTGCATGAGCCAAACCTAAATGTAGCTGTCCACAGGCCTGAGACATGCACCTTCGGTCGAGACTCTGCGAGGCTTGGTGTTCCATGGCGCAAGATAGGTGGGAAGAAACGCAATACAATCTAACATTGATTCTTTGCACATTTCCACTACCTTGCCCAATATGCCCTTCATATGCACTCGCAGAGTCTCGGCTTGCCCTTGATGCCCGTTGGAAGCCAATACAATGCAGACCTTGTATCCCCCCACCAATCCCCCTCAATCCCGTATACCATCCTGCGGTAAAGCTTATGCCTCCGCTCCCGTACGCTCGTCATTTGGTTCAAGCCACCCAAGACTGACCAGTAGCGACTACTACCCAAAAGCTCAAAAGCCACAATACTGCAAGACATACCAAGACAATCACCATCCCGCTGCCCCCGAATCAGTCTCTTCCTTTGACGTCAAACCTTATCGAGGTCCGTTGTCACTACCCTGCATTAGGCCTCGATTGAACGTTTCTTCGTCACGCCACGGCCGCTGAGAGTACCCGAAAGCTGCTGGGCTGGCTGTTCCCTCACCGCCATGTTCCGAAGCATCGAGCACGCACTCTGCGATACACACGCTACCAGTCGCGAATACGGGCGGCCGGAACAAGGCTATCTCCGATACGCACCAACAGCGTGCAAAAAAGGGGACGGCCTCAGGTAGCAAGCGTTCCGCGAACCCCACCCCACATCCAAGCTCTGGGGGCGCAGCAAGCAGTAAATTACCCAGTTACCCCCAGCGACAAGTGCCAGTGCATCTGAGTTCGCGATACAGGCGAATACGCAGCCCGAGAAGACGCTCAGACAAGGTGGGTGGTGGCGGCACCTCGGCTTCGGCGCCTCGTATTGCGGTCCATCGCGTCTATTTTTCCCTTCGTTTAGACCAAACTTTTTTTGGGGGGCTGCTATTACGGGGGTTCTCTGCCAGCTCCACACCAGGCTCCATTCAAATATTCTTTGCGCGCGGACACACTACGAAAACACAGACGGACGTGACTAAGAAAAGATTCTATTCAAATCCAATAACGTCTTCACGGCCGCCGTGAAACACCGCTTTTACCACATGCATGCCACTAGGCTTTTCGCTTCTAGCTTCGTGCGAGGCTTGCGAGGGAACCCACCTGTGCGTGCACCATCCGCCGCATCTCAGCGACACATGCAGCATCATCGCGATTTCACTTCTTTTGCTGTCGCCAGCATCTTGTTTTCCGTGGAGCAGGATTACTATACTGCAAGTGTCAGATCCAACAAACATGTGAAAGACCCACGCCCCATCCATCAATCTAGACCCCATTCCCCACCTAGTATGCAGACATGTAGATCGAGTCCAGAAGCCATGTCAGCACAACAAAACAAACATGTCCAACGTCCATCTTCTTCCACATTCATCTTTCGCATACACGAGAAAGGAAAGGAAAAATCAAATCCGCAAGATAATCACTCGGTGCTTCTCTCTTATCCAACAGTTTTGTACACGCACGTGCATCTGCGCCTGCGCCTACGCCGATGAGATGCTCAGTTTAGTCATGTCAATTACCTACACCTACCGGCCCACTCACCATCCCTCCTACCTACCACGCACACCCAACTCCCAGTAACACAAACACAAAACGATCACCCGCACTAACCCAGCCCAGCCCAGCCCAGCACAACAGCCTCCAGAAAAAAAACCCTCTCCAATAGTTCCCTTCCATCTTCACTGCACCCGTCATCCGAATCCGAATCACAAATAGCCTATCCAGCGTGCTAAAACCCCATCATATGACCTCATGCGATCGGTATTTGTTTAGCTAGTGCGGTAGTTGGGTAGTGTCCCGAACACTCGTTCAGCTCTTTCAGCCTGTCCCGCCAGCCAGCCAGTCCGGTGGTGCCAAAACCGGTCGAGAAGAGAATTGTTCTTTGGCGGGTGGTGGTGGTGGTGGTGATTGTCAGACAGCTTGTTTCAGATGGGAGGCGGAGGGGGTTAGGGTACCGGATTTTTTTTCGTTCGCGCTGGGCTGGGTTGGGGGAGGGAGGAGTAGAGTCTGGGTTGTGTGAGGCGTGTTGTGGACGTGAGTAAGGGGATGGGTGGATGGATGGGTCAGGGGGCTATATTTGTATTTGTATTTTTGTGGTTGTTGTCTAGGCACTCTTGCTAGCTTAGCTGGCCCACCTGCCGTGTTGCATCAGCACAGCCAACTTTCTCCCAAAACTCAAAGATACGCCACAGTACCGCTCGACGGCTTCACGGACCATGCGTGGACGATTTCCTGGCTTCAGCATTACTAACAAATAATTGAAAATAGGCTGTTATGAATACCTAAACGAGTCATGTCAACAGCACCGTTGTATGGCGCCCTGGAGTAGAGGATAACGTGATTGTATTGCTTATATGAATCGCTACAGAGCCGGGTAGCAATGGATAATTGTCGTGTACTCTAGATTATGCTGAGACCCCCAAGGTCCCAAGGTTTGTGTAGGCCAGGGCCTGACAACTTGCGCCCGTGCCACTCCTCCATTACCTGCCACCCCTCCATGACCTAATAGTTCGACTTGAACTCCATCTTAAGATTGTGGTTTCCCGCAATAGTAATATCCTCATACGCAGAAGCCTGCCCATTAACACCTTTTGCGAAGATATCACCACCAGGAGCGCCGGGCAAGTCGCTGATATACGCCGAGATGGACTGTTCCAAATAGTTGTAGACGTAGACTCTGAACCCGTGCCGGTGAGTCTGGTGATTTCGAAGACGACCTCGCCAGCAGCCAGCGTCAAGGTCTTCTTCACATTGGTTATTGGAGTATAGCCCGTTGTACTCCCTTCGATGGTGCGCTTTTCCAGAGTGCTGCTGCTGAGGAGGAGGAGAAAGTTAGAAAGTAAGTTTATGGAGGTAGGAGAGGTAAGGCTAACTGTGTGGCCTCGTGTACAATGACATCTGTAGATCCGGAGTCGCTGCGTGGGAGGAGAGCGAGAGATTGAGGGTTGTCTGCGGGGACAGGAGTAGCATGCGTGAATGCTAGGATAGCAAGGACAGTGCAAGATTGAGAGATCTTCATGTTGTTAAAACACAGGCTTCAAGTTTCCTACTGTGTTCTAGATCAATGCTTACCACCGAACCTCATATAACTTGCATTAGCCAAAACGTGGACTTGAAGTTCCCTATTGTGCTCTAGATCAATACTTACCACAAACTTTCGTACGACTTGTATCAGCCAAATTTAGTGTTGGCAGTTGTCAAAATATTCCAAAGACTCTTTATATGGTAGCGACACTAACGTGTCCGTGCGCGTGATGCGCGGATTCGCGTGATGCGCGGGTAACACCAAAACACGTCAAACCCCTTCACCTTCAACACACGTTAACTCCACCAATATGGACCCAATTCAAGCTGCGATTGAAGATATTGAAAATCTAGAGCCAGGAGAACAGTTCTCGTATACTAAAATTGCTGCTAAGCATGGTGTTGTGAGATCTACGTTGACCCGAAGGCACCAGGGCCAGACAAGCTCAGAAAGAGACAAGAACTTCAACCAGCAGAAACTCAACCCACAACAAGAGCTAGAGCTTGTGAGATATATCGAAAAGCTCACAAAGCGAGGCATTCCTCCTACACGAGAGATGATCAGGAATTTCTCATCAGAAGTAGCCCATCAGCAGCTCAGCGAGAGCTGGGTTACTCGCTTCATCAACCGACACGAGATCCATCTCATCTCAAAGTGGACCAGCGCCATGGATCGTACGCGCCACCTGGCTGATTCTGAGTCAAAGTATAGACTCTACTTCGAGCTGCTGCATCGAAAGATCACCGAATATCACCTAGAGGCTCGAGATATATACAATATGGATGAGAAGGGCTTCTTAATTGGCTTGATAGGCAGAAGTAAGAGGATATTCAGCAGGCGTCAATGGGAGAAGAAGGAGGTTCGAGCATCTCTCCAGGATGGATCACGCGAGTTTCTGACAGTCCTGGCCTGCTGCTGCGCTGATGGGAGCTCGCTGCCTCCAGCCCTTATCTACGCAGCTAAAAATGGAGCTATACGATCGAGTTGGGTAGAAGATATCAAGGCAGGAGAACATGAGGTCTTTGTCTCATCATCTCCAACAGGCTGGTCAAATGATAACGTAGGCCTAGCTTGGCTGGAGCAGGTGTTTGATCGCTCTACAAAGCAACGATCAGGTAGATGGAGATTGCTCATCCTTGATGGCCATGGATCTCACCTCACGATGGAGTTTATTAAGTACTGCGATCGCCATAGGATCCTCCTCATGATCCTTCCTCCCCATTCGACCCATACGCTCCAGCCGCTAGATGTAGTGCTGTTCAAGCCACTCTCTCAAGCCTACTCTAACGAGCTCACTAACCATCCCCATAAGGCTCAAGGCCTTATTCCAATCAAGAAAGGGGACTTCTTCCCGCTCTTCTGGAGCGCCTGGATATCCTCCTTCACAGAGAGCCTCATATTGAAGGCCTTCGAAGCCACTGGGATCTGGCCGATGGATGCCAACGTTATCCTTCGTAGATTTGCTAGCACGCCAGAAGCTGAGAGAAGCTCATCGTCAGGGCTCTCTGATCATGACTGGAGAAAGCTCGATCGGCTAGTACGAGCTGCTGTTAATGATAGCCATCAGTATGAGGCAAGAAAGCTGCGCTCAAGCGTTCACCATCTCTCTGTGCAGTATGAGCTTTTAAAGCATGAGAACGAGGGCTTAAAGGAGGCTCTTCAACATAAAAAGAAGCACAGGAAGAAGGGCAAAGCTCTTGACCTTCAACAGCGCCAGGAGTATCACGGTGGCTCTGTCTTCTGGTCTCCTCGCAAGCTGCGTGAGGCTCGAGCTAGAGAAGCAGTACGGGAGCGAGATGAGACGGAGGAGAAACTCCAAAAAGCACGGTCCAAGAAGCAGCGCGAGGAGGCTCGACTGCAGCGTCAAGATGAGCTCGAGGAGAGGCGTGTGGAGAGGCAGAGACTCAAGGAGATGAGGGAGCTTGAGCGAGCTGAGAAAGCAGCTGAACGCGCGCGCCAGAAGGAGGAGAGAGACGCTGCTAAAGCTATACAACTACCCCAAAAGGGAAAGAGGAGAGCTTCAGCAGCTACCTCATCGAACAACAAGCGTCAAAAACGCGTTGAGGCTGCTCGCGCTGGTGCTCAAGTTCAAGAAGAGCCTCCAGCTCCTCCATCAAAGCTCACATCACGTGGCCGCAACGTCAACCTCCCATCAAAATATAGATAGTACAAGTTGATCGCAAGCATCTAATTACTCCCCCTCTATAAATTCGTATAATAACAGCTTATATACGTGGCTTAATAGCTTCATTTTTGAAGTAGTGGATATGGTGTTCCCCGCGCATCACGCGAATCCGCGCATCACGCGCACGGACACGTTACCGTCCGTGCGCATCCAATGCAACAGGTCAGCCAATGCAACACCAAAACCACAACCACCCACTCACAAAACGCGTCATAACTCCACCAATATGGACCCCATTCAAGAAGCGATTGAATTTTTGGAATCGCGTGAGGCTAGCAATAATTTCTCGTACCGCCAAATCGCGAAAATGTTTAGTGTTAAGCTTTCTACGCTCGTTCGAAGACACCAAGGCAAAACGCAGCCTAGGGGGACTATGCATCGTCTCCTCCACCCACAACAAGAGAAGGAGCTTGTAGAGTACATCAGAGGGCTCTCCGAGCGACGTTTGCCACCTACGAGGACAATAATACGCAATTTTGCGTCGTCTTTGGCTGGAAAAGAGGTCTTAGAAACCTGGGTTTCCCGGTTTCTAAGAAGACACCCATCTGAACTCATATCGCGCTACACCTCTAGGATGGACCGCAAACGTCACAAAGCTAACTTAGGGGCTAAATACAAGTTGTATTTTGAGCTTCTGCATGCCAAAATAATAGAGTATAGGGTGCAACCTACTCAGATCTACAATATAGATGAAAAGGGGTTTCAAATTAGATGCCTTGGGCGATCAAAACGCGTGTTTGACAAGGTGTTATATGATCAAAAGGGGGTTAGGGCATGCCTTCAAGATGGCAATACTCAATGGATTACTGTATTGGCATGCGTTTGCGCCGATGGTACAGCCTTAAGTCCATCCCTTATCTTCCAATTGGACGCTGGGACCTTACAAGCCTCATAGGTTGACGCTATTGACGCCGAAAAGCACTCAGTCTTCGTGGCGTCTTCTCCAACGGGTCGGACGAACAACGATATAGGGCTTGCCTAGCTCAAGGAGGTGTTCATAAGGGAGACGAGGCGTTCAGGAGTCAATAGGTACCGATTACTCATCCTTGATGGCTATGGATCTCATGTTACTATGGACTTTATCAATTTCTGTAACGACAACAAGATCCTCCTCGCCGTCTTTCCCTCTCACGCTACCCACACGCTTCAACCCCTGGATGTATCGTTGTTCAAACCTCTCTCGGACGCCTACTCAAATGAGCTCGCGAAGTACCTTTAGGACAGCCAGGGGCTGCTCCCAATAGTAAAAGGAGACTTCTTTCACCTCTTCTGGAGCGCCTAGTGTACTGCTTTTAAGCCTCCAACGATCATAAAGTCCTTTAAAGCTACAGGTATTTACCCCCCTAATGCCGAGGTTATACTTAAAAGATTCGTCAAAGGGGGCTACAATTCAGATGACGGCTCATCTTCATGCTTTTCTGAAGAAGACTGGGTCAAAATAGAGGGTATAATACGACGTCAGGTGAAAGATCAACGCAATAAGGAGGTCAAAAAGCTTCGCCGAAGTCTCCATCACATCTCCACCCAGGCAAGCCTCCTTAGGCATGAAGTAAGGGGCCTCCGGCGGGCTATGGGCATCAGAAATGGGCGGGAAAAGAAGTCCTACACTCTACAACTCAACAATCCTCATGAGTATAACGGTGGAGCCGTCTTCTAGTCTCCCAAGAAGGTCCGTCAGGCTCGGGACGATGAGGCGGCTCGACAACAACAACTACAACTCGAAAAAGCACAAAAAGCAGAGAGGGCTCAGGAGAAGGAGCAATCGCGACTCAACAAGCTTCAGGAGGCCGAACAAAAGCGTGTTAAGAGAGAGAGGCTCAAGGAGGCGAGGGAGAAGAAGCGAGAGAAAGAACGGGCTGAAAAAGAGCATCGAAAAGCAGCTCGCGACTCTCAAAAAGCTATACAACAGTCCCAAAACGGCAAGCGTAAGGCCTCACAAAGCTCCTCTCAAAAGCAGAAGCGTTAAAAAGGTGTTAGTGATGCTGCACGACGTGTACAAGCCGAGGTGGCTGCACCTGTCGTCCCAACTTAAACGACCCGCCAGGGCCGCACCACCAAGGTACCAAGTAAATATAAGTAGCGCAAGTTTATCGCAATAATATAATTACTACTACACTACAAAATCTCGCGATAATAGCTATTGTGGGTGGCTCTACAGCCTCATCTTTTAGTATACTAGTGTGGTTTTGGTGTTGCATTGGCTGACCTGTTGCATTGGATGCGCACGGACGGTAGTAGCATGGTACGGGTCTCCTTACAGCGAGGCACCCCCAAAACTACCGCGTCAAAAATTCTTCAAATGATTACATCAACGCAGAAAATTTGCAATCGAGGAGAACCACCAGCCAAAGAATCTCCCCAACTTGTCTCCATCCTCACAGCTCAAGTGTGGACTGGTCTTACCGCCGACACCCGTACGACTTCTATCAGCCAAACTTTGTATTTTCAGTCTGCCAAAGTGTCCCAAAGACTCTTCCGGAATTGTCTAGATGCTCACGGGTCGAGGGTCGACTGGGAGTACTTCCGAATGGCGGTCTGAGCTGACCCAGGGCTCAGGGACTAGAGGCCAGGGGCTAGGCAGACTGAGGATGTCGTGAAGAAAGAATGTGTAACTGCCGCTGCTCGATGATTGAAGACTGAAGAACAGGTGCTCCACGTCAAGGCATAAATAGCTCCATTACCACCACCTCTTTCTTATCATCCACAACTCACCACATTCCGCTGCTAATAACGCGCAACCATACTTTCAACTTTTGACTCACAATATTTATCGCCTCCGTCTTCAGGCTAGAGACCGTTGTTGCTGTGTGAGCTTCACCTTATTGCACATACCCGGGGTTCAATAATAACTAACAACCATCGCCAGCCTAGCATACACGACTCCCACCGCAGCACGATGCGGTTACTATTGCGGCAAGTCCGAGAGTCCTTCCCAGCTCTCCGGGACCTTGACCAGAAGCTGTTGCGGAAGTCATCCACAGGCTTTCACCGGCGAAGTAAGCCCGCCTAACTTCTTTGGTCCCTTTTAGATTTGTTCTAACCACGTTTATAGTGCCTCCTTGAAAACAATACTTGGGACCAGCGTACCAACTTTATGACGTGTTGCCAAGGAACCAAGGAAGAGATATGCTATCGATATGCAGCAAATGTATACAAATGTGGTGCAAAAGACTATCCGGTGGAGTGCCAATGAAGAAAAGAGAGGCGAATGGTATATGCTGGGGTTGCTGGCTAGGGCTCTTGTAATGTTTTGCTGCAATATTTTGTTATAATTTTTTTTTGGTTGTAATCTCGTCTTGTCGCTTCCTTCCACAAATCAAGATGGCCCAGATATTAAAGCTACGACTGAGAAGGATGTAGAGTAGAGTGCATTGCTTGCCCTCTTTAGTAGTTACGCAACTCTCTACTACAGGCATTATCAAATTTATAGTTACACCTTATTCTACCCACCTGTACTAACAATTAACTACCCCTCTGATTCGCGTGTATTGAACCCCATCATACAACCTCATGTGATCGGTGGTGGTTACCCCCTTAGCGTCCCCAACACATGCTCAGCTCCCAGCCCCAGCCCTAGCTTAGCGCCGCAAAGCGACTACGAAGACAAGCTTTCTCTGTCCTTGATTGAATATCTTGTTTCAGCTGTTACGGCGAACAGGTGTTAGGGTACCAGATTTTGTCTGCGCCTGTTGGGGGTCTGGAGGCTTGTGGGCGCGAGTAAGGGGGTCAGTAGGGTCCGTGCTTGTGGTTGTCAGATCACGTAAATAACTTGGGCACGTTTCTTTTTTTCTTTCCAATCGGGAAATGGGTGAATGTGTTCATCCATCCATCTCATTTGAACGTACAAACAAGCGACTGCTGAGAAAGAAGAAAAATCAACGAGAGTTGTTGGGTAAATCGATGTTGTGGTCAGCAGACACGGGGCCTGAATATCGCTGTCGCTGTCGCTGTCGTCAGCAGCTAGGCAGCGTAAAAGGAGTAATCATCACCAGCACACGATACCTCTGTCAGCCCAGCTCAGCCCACTTCCAGCCTCCCCGCGTCTTGGCTCAGCTCTCCAATCTCCATGCATTCACCGCCTCATATATGTGGCAAAGTCTAAGACCCCTGAATTACGTCTTCTAGCTTCATCATCGCGGAAGACGTAGATTGAGTGAAGACGGCGAGGTAGCTGTTAATGTATAAAGGGAGGTATTTAGAAGCGATGTTGGGGAAGGATGTTAGGTGTCAAGTCTACAGGCGGTACAGTTTCTTTCTTTGACTTCGATCGAGTATGTGTGCAATGGAAGGAATGTATGCTTGATAGATATAGTACATCTCTCTATTTTATCGATGAGAAGTGTTGAAAATACATCTTCCTCCCCCAGCTTTCTTTCAATCTCTTTCTCTCTATACCTCATTTTCTCTCTTGCCCCTCCCCTCCTCCTCCACCCACCCTTGTCCACCTGTCTTTTCCTATCCTGATTGACTTTTAAAACACATACATACTAATCTCTCCACATTACATCTACCTCGAGTACAACTTTATGTTTCAAACACGCTCTACTATTTTCACCATCCTAATCACTATCACTATCACTATCACTATCACTACTCATACACCCACAAGACTTCATTATCTCCGTATATATAGAGCGCGATGAATTAGTTCACTAAAACCGGAATAGAGTGCCGATTAAGTGGCGTGGATGAAGTGTAAAGGTAGGTACAGTAACCAGGTAGTAATGTTACAAAACAACAACAACAACGAGAAGGATGAAGATATCAAGAAAAAAGAGACATGATACATCTCAAGTGTAGATACAGATGTGAACAAATCAAGGGTAAATATTAATAACAACATGGGGGACAATACAACAATATACTACTAACACAGCATCTCTTTCCTCCACAGCACAGACCTCATCAAGGCTTACCCCAAATCACAAGTACTCACAGTACTCACAGCACTTCCCCATTTGATGACAACCAACATAACTTCACATCTACACACACACACACACTTCTAAAAGTCAACGGAATGCATTTGGTACTCGATAAAATAGCGGACAATTGTAATAAACCACACGCACACCTTCACCAAAACAAAATTTCGAGGGAAACACTTCATCTGTTCAATCCCTTCGACCCACTAGCCACTGTTTCCTTTCGCTTTTTCATTAACAGTCCTACTACATCCATCCACCCCATCCATTTCAAGTCCGCCCGGGACCCCGGCCTCACTTCACACATCGGGATATCGCTAAACTGCCCAAATCTCCGCCTCCAGCACTTTTTTGTTCATTGTTCAATTCCTGCACTGCAAAGCACCCAAAGCACGTCTATTGTCTCATCATGACTGCCATTATCGTCGTCAAGGTGTTTTGCCAAGCAACTTTTGGACGCCCATGTAAAAGACAGGGCAATCGTCGCCAAGGGTCGTGAGACGCTTACTGCGCCTTCTTGGGTGCGGCTCCGGGCTGTCCGCCAACATACCTGCGGATGTCGGTAGCATCGGCAGCTTGGCGAACAATGCCCTTGAAGGTACCCCAGCCCTGCTTTGCGGCGGGAGGAGTGCTCTGGTTGGCGAGCTGGGCGTCAATGCGGGCAGTGAGCTGGTTGATGGCTTCCTGGACAAAGCTGCTTTGCGCAACGCGGGCGCGGAAGAAGACGGTGTAGATTGCAAGCAGGATCCACGAGCCCTTCTGGAAGAGCATGGCAGAGCCGAGAACACGGACCCAGAGGAAGATCTCGAGAAGGGCAACTAGCGTCATGGAGCCGTCATAGTATTCCTTGACAAACTTGCCAATAGCCTCGGAAGCGGCAGAGCCCTGGGGCTTGGCGCCGGCCTGGGCCGCAGGCGGGGGTTGGATAGTGGGTAGAAGGTTTGAGCGCACGTAGGTAGCGACATGGAAGACAGAGTATACGGAGAAGGGCAAAATGGCGAGGGGGATTTGACGTGAGAAGAGCCAGACAAGGGCCATGACTGGGCTTTGGTTAGCGGCTGATACGACCAAGGGAGGCGCATGTGATAGACTTACACAAGTACTGAACATTCTCATCCGTAGCCAGCGCAACAAGACCGTTCTGCTTTCCGGCCCTCACACGGGCACGGTATGCCTTGTAGACAACAATTCCGTAGGTGACGCATGCCGACAAGAAGGCGGTGCGGTAGGAGAATGAGGCCCAGCGGGAGTAGTAGTTGAAGGTAATATAGGACAAGCTGTATCGCATGGTAGCGAGCAGCAGAGTGACATGTCCGGCGAACCATGCAAACTGCAGAGTCTGCGCGAGGGCAGCAAGACGCTGGCCCAACGGCATAGAAGCAGGTGGTGGAGGGGCCATGGTTCGTATTTGGGCGCCTGTTGGAGCTGTCGTGTGGGCTACGTAATAGATAGCTTGGGGAAGGTCAGCAGAGCTCTACAGAGATGATTGCAGCTTCCGACGTATGGAGAGACCAAGTGCAGGCCTCTTGACAACAGTAGGGAAGAGTGGAGGTGCAATGTGTCCAAAACTGTGGCTGGGTCCCCTGTGTGCAGCAGCAGCAGCAGCTTGCTTTCGGCCTTCGGGACCCGCACAATGGATACTCTCGGTGCCTGACTGGCCGTGGGGAAACTTACCGATGCAGAAAGGTCCGAATATTCAGGTACAGACTGAGGGTCTGCAGAAGCTTTCAATAGTCACGCAAGAGAGGAAAGAAGGGCGGAGCAGAGTTGATATCGTGGTCGTGTGTTTGTGGAGGGACAAAAGGGCGGCCACAGTAAACCAGAAAATCGGGCGTTTTGGGGGGGGGGTGACGACATCACAGGCCACGGGGCACCCCCACCGCGCCCTCCTTTGGGCCATCTCAGCCGCAGCCTGTCCCGGCTGTCCAACTGTTTCAATCACAAACGTCATGTCGTCACTGGTGTCTCTGAACAAACATCACAAGAACAAACTCGTATTTTTTTTTCTGCCAACAAATGAAATTTGCCTAGTATGATGGTCTGTAGAGTACATGAAAAGAACCTGTCCGACACACTCCACGCTCCGAACTACGTCTGCGGAATACTAAATAATAGAAAATGCTGAAAGAGAAGCAAGGGAATCGGAAGGAGCGCAAAGACGTTGGTATCAATCAACAATCCGGACAACTGCACCAAGACGTGACACTGGGTTGCTGGGTGCCCAATGTCGCACCGCTGCGTATTATCCCTTTTACCGATAGCACCCAGTGGTATCGTCGGCCGCATTATATTAAACAAGGTCTGTAAGAGGGTGTAGAGAACTGGAAAGGTTCGGTCGAGAGGCGTGATATCGTCCAGAGCGGAGCAGGGGAAACGATCCAGTCGCCAGCTGGCCCGCCTTAGCGGAGCGAGAATCCCTTTCTCTTGCCCTTTTCTTCGATCGGCCGGCCCGACTCGATGCGTGCCTTCTTCTCCTCGAGCTCTTGTCGTTGCCGGTCTAGCTGGTCCTTCATCTCCTTGTGACGGGCGTACAGCTCTTCTTCGCTCTGGCGGAGTTTGCTCTCCTTCTCCTGCACCTTTTGCTGGAACACCATCTTCATCTCCATTTCCATCTTCTGGAGCTTGGCCTCGTGGAGCGAACGCTCCTCCTCTTGCTTGACCGCAGGGTTGACCTCCTTGAACACGCTGGAGTCTTGCTGGATGCCCATCTGTGCGAGCTTCTCCGAGCGGTAGTTCTCGTAGAGCGCGTTGTTGGTGTTCTCCTTGAGCTCCTCCATGTGGGTGCGGATGAGCATCTGGCGCAGCTTGACAAAGTCGCAGTGCTCCTCGTTGTCCACCTCGACAACACCCCAGGGAAGCGCACGCCCACGCACCTTGCGGCCGTCAACCGTGGTGACCTCGGTGTTGGAACCGACAACGGCAAAGGGAACCTTGGCCATGATCTCCTGGTTCTCGGCAATCGTCTCCTCGTCGTCAAGCTCGTACCGTGGTCCCTCGAAGATCTGGATCTTGTGGTAGGCGATATCTGCAAGAATCTGGACTAGTTAGTAGGGGGGAAAAAGCATAGTCTTGTGTACATACCCTCTTCTTGTAGTTGTCGATTTCATCGTCAGTAACGGTGTCGGCCTTGGCGATGACGGGGATGAGGTTGACTTTGGTGTGAAGCTTCTTCATCACCTCGATGTCGATGGGCTTCAGCGAGTGGCCAGTGGGCTGGATGAAGTAGACGACGGCGTGGATGCGGTTGTCGACAATGTTCATGCGGTTGACCTTGTTCTCGGCGTCGAGGTAGGCGTCGAACCTTTGCTCAATATTCTTGACAATCGGGTCCCACGACTCGTCGTTGTTGATGAAGTCACCGAAGCCGGGTGTGTCGACGACTGTTAACCTCAGACGAACACCGTTTTCCTCAATGTCGGCGCTGATGGACTGTATCGAGACCGTCTTGGAGATGTCGAGGCTCGGGGGCTTGCGCTCCTTGGGCGGGTACAGCGACGTGTTGAAGAGGGTGTTGACCAGCGTCGACTTTCCGAGGCCAGACTCACCTGGATGACACGTTAGCACAAATCATAAGCCGTGACGCAGAAGCAAACATACCAACAACCATGACATTGAAGTTGAAGCCCTTGCGTACACTCTTGCGGTGCCACTGGTTGGGCAGGTTGGCGAAACCGACGTAGCCCGTGAGCTTCCTGCGCACAATGTTCATGTCGTTTGCCATGGCAGCTGCGGCCTTGGGGTTCTTCGCCGTGATGGTTTGTACCGCTGGAGGCTGTCCGTTAATCGTCTGATCCATGGCGAAGCCGCCGGCAGAGGCTGGAGGTGATGGGGACGCACGCGTTGGCGGCGCTGGAGATGTAGCACCGGATTCTGCAGCCGTTTGTTAGCAAAGGGGCCTTTTTGAGCATGAGCGAGAGGTAGAGCCTGTCGACCGCAGCAACAGCGAGAGAGAAGTGCATTGGACCCTGCCGAATGTACCCCTCTCTCTGCTGCGCATAGGTGTGCTTGGGTGTTTATGCACGAGCTATCAACAAAATCTTCGCCGTCGAGGCGTGTCTTGTTGGGCCAAAGGGGAGTGAATCGGGGAAGCTCCTTACCCATGGTGTAAATAGTTGCAGTAGACGCAGACAATGTTTGTCAAGGGAGGGACTCCTGCCGAGCGAGATGATGTTAGCAAAGGCCTTCAATGCCTGACGTGCCCGTCTGCCAGCCGCGGGTGCGAAACAAATGCTAGACGCGACCCAGGCCAAACGTGGAGAAATAAAGTGAAACGGAAGCGTGTGGAGAGAGAGAGATGGGACGGCGTACCAGTCAGCGGTAGGTATGCTGTAGAGTGAGAGATGCACTCAAAGCAATGGATTGAAGTGGTGCAGTGGGCTGCAAAGGGAAAATGGCGTGGTGTTCCGGGGACTGCGACGTTGAAAGGGAAGTCGTGGTGCCGTCGGCCTGCTGGGTAGAGGAAAGGGGTCCGCACAGGGATGGGCGCGATTGGAGCAAGTCCGAGCAGCGCCAGAGCAATGGGCACTAGACCAAAAATCCCCGCGTCACCACTAGCACCCGGCCTCGATGTCGGTAACAGCCTGAGGCAGAGTGAGGTCCGGTGAGGCTCCCAGTCAGCTGGCACTGGTGTAAGATGCAATTGGCACCTTTCACCGCGAACTTTTGGTGTTCTCGTGTCCCGTCTGCAAGAGGCAGTCGCGAGCCCTAGATCTTCCACAAGGGGACGTCACGTGTTTGGTAAATGAGCACCCGGGCAAGCACGAGCAACAACGCGCCTAATTGATATTACTGCACTCCATCGCTGCCTCCCCGGCAATCTCACGCCATGCTCCTTCACCCCTCACGGTACCAGGTGTAGCGTGGCACCACAAGACATGGGAGTGCAAGACTCGACCCTACATATGTATCCAATTACACCGCCTCCGCCAGCATGGCCCTGGGCTCATATATCCAACCTAGCCTAGCTCTCTATCTGTATCGCTATCCTGTACATGCAAATCAAAGGGTATTCTGCGCAAACAAACAAGCCACAACGCCGCAACCATTACACTATGCAAAGCTCGCCAGTGCCTTGTTCAACTCGGTCTTGTCGTACTTGACATACTTGCCCTTGCCCTTGTCAATCTCCCGGTACCTATCGTAGAATCGGTTGTACAAGGGCTCGATGATGTTCTGTACCTCTTTGCTCAGCTGGTTCCGCACCTCGGGCTCCATCGCGTACGACTTGTGACGTGTGACAAGATCGTCGAAGCTTGTGTTGAAGTTCTTGAACTTTTCCTTGATTGCGTCCTTGTCCTTTGAACTGAGTGTCTTTACAATAGCTGCCGAGTCGGCTCCGCTGGATGTCGGCCGTTCCTTGGTACGGTTCGTGTATTGTACATCGAGCAGGTAACCAGACGGCTCGCGCCATGCCTCAAGATACATGGCTGTGCCTTGCTTCCGCCAATCCGCGAGCTTCTTCTCGTAGCTGCCCATGAGAGGTGCTAGTTCTGACGAGCGGATGATCCGCATGACAATGGCAACGTTGTTGGCTAGGAAGATACCCTGCAAGTTCTTGCCCTTTAGCAGTGTCTTGGCCTTTACGCTCAGATTCTGTAACAGCGTATCGATGCAATCGGCGGCATATTGTCCGAAAAGCCTCACGCCGTCGGGGCCAACGTCTAGAGTTGTAGAAGAGTTGTTGGCCGAGTTGGAGTTCCAGCCGCCTTCACCCAGAGATGCCAATATTGATGTGAGAGGCTCTAGATAGTTTGTCAATTCCTGCAGGCGTCGCATCGTCTGTGTAGTCATCTCCACCGGCCCGCCATCAATAGGCAGCGCAATGAGTGCCTGTGTGCGAGATCTCGTGTCTTCTAGCATTTTGCCCAAAGACATCTTCGACGTTTCCCGAACTGGCTTCACGCTGTCGTAAATCTGGTCCTTGAGCGCACCCGTCTGCTTCTGAAGCCGCATGGATAGTGTCCGTACCAGACCACATATCTCAAAGCCTAGAAAGCAGTCGGTCAGGAGATTCTTCTGGATATGTCCGTTGAGCTCGCGCAGTGTTTTGGTAAAGTCTTGTAGCGGAAACTGGCATGTCGCCACATAGACGTCGCTCCATTCGTCCCGATCGAAGACGTAGTTGAGGTTGTCGAATTCGGCTACGAAAAGGCCCTCGATTGCTTGCACGTAGGTTCCGATACCATTGGTACCCTTCTTGTACAACGCGTCAGCCTGTACCTTTCGGGCCGTGCTGATCGACGCTTGCATAAGACTGCGTAACGTGCTTTCGAGATATTCGCCCCGGATCTCTGCGTATATTCTTCGTGTGGGAGTTTGCGACAGGTCGACTTGCGATACTTGGGCGAAGGTTTTGGTAATGTGAGTGTTGATGCTGCGTAGACTCTGGAGCTTCTCTTGAGGCATGCGAGGGAAAGGGTTCTCTGCAGATTGTTAGAGCGTCACTATATATGGTGCAAGATCAACGTACGCTTTGCGACATATTCCAATGGCTGGACCTTTCCTCGGGAGCTATCTTGCAAGATACTCCTGAAGACATCCTCTAGTTGCTTGTTACCGAGTTTCAAGAGCCCACTAAGCTCGGCAACGGCTTGTTCGTTAGAGCGCAGGTTAGTGCGCTTAAGGTCCTGGAGACTGAGGTTTGTGCGATCGAGAGAAGCGATATAGCCGTCCAGGTCTCCCCGGCCAGGGCCCGCGCGAATAATCCTCTCCTCCTTTGCACTTTCCTCTCGTGGTGCCCTGAGTCGCTCAATGGCCTCGATTATACGGTCGACGTTTGTGTTTGCGATTTGCAGTTTTTGAGTGTTGCCGTAGATTGGGCTGATAGCTTCTTGGACGGCTTTCCCACTGGCATCGAGCCGATTGACCGAGGCTTGGATCTTCTTGGTGAGCGTCTTCATCTTCTCCATGTTGGCGAAGAGCACCTCCACTTCGGCGCTCTCCTCCAGGAGCGCAGTCCTGCGGGGGGCGACCATGGCGACTGCTGGTGAGCTTTGCGACTGCCTCGGCCCGTGTTAATTCGTGGATGGCGAGGGCGAACCTCGATTATGTACAGCGAACGGGCAAGGCTAGAGCCAACATTAAGCCCAACATCAAAGCTAATAAATGAAAGGATGTCCAACTGGGGAAGTCTGCGGATCGGTGTATGATGATGTGGGAGGGGATGCTTGCGGAGAGCTGTTGCGGAGACAACGCTATGACGAGCCAGGGTCTGGCCTGACCGTGGTCCGCGAATTGAACTTGTCGACGGCGCCACAGTTCCACTACCAGACGCCACACTGAGATCTAAACTGTGTTCTCGGCCAATCTACTACACGCTACTTTTAGTGTTGGTGAAATCAGCCTCCGAGAAAGTTCTTCCACAAGTGTATAGACCCCAAAACTGCCATAAACGGACCTAATGTTACCTGACGAGCGATTCCTGTCACCGCGAAGCCCGCTGTCTGTGTCTCACACTGGTTTCGGCGACGCTTACGTATAACATTGTTCAGGCATCACTGGGCTGCGTGAAGGGACGAAAATAGATTCATAGATTTATACGGCGGCAGTTTCGTAAGTACAAGGAAGGTGGCCGATGAACGCGTAAAATAGCCAATTGGCAAATGCTGTATCCAATAGCATCACATCACGCGTATGTTTACCATAAACCAGGATGATTGTTTCCAATAATGTACAATTTTGCTGGATTAGGTTCTCTTATGCTAGTATACCGTTCACCTCTTTCAAATACCAACTCAAGCTTAGGAAAAAAAAACGCACATCGTGAATCTGAATGGGAAGCCCATGTGGTAAAGTGTAAAAGAAAAACAAGAAAATGTGCTATGAAAATGCACCAAGTGAAGAAAAGTAACAGTCAGAAAGCAAATCAGGCTTTCAAGAAGTGGAGAAAAGGGAGAGAAATGATGCTAATCAACAAACCGTTCCTGCCTTGACCGCGTCGTCGAGGTTTCGTAAACATAGAGGAAGACCGAAAAGATGTGGGCTTGACAGGAGAGAACAGGTTGCGCACTGGCCTTGAGGATGTGCTGAAAGCCCGGCTAGAACCTTTTCCGGTAGCTACCAGTGCAAGCTCAAGCATACAAGGCTTGGTCAAGAAGGGCCGAGACTGTGTAGAGTTATGCGTAAGCTCGCTGCCAATCGGCTTTACAGCCGGACGACGGGTCGTTTCGAAGAATTTGCTCTGAATCATCTCGAGGTCACGCTCGAACTGTGGCAGCAAAGCCTCCAATCGACCACGAATGCGTGCATGTTGAGGTGATATCCAGGCGTCATTTTCGAGGAGCTCCACGCTGATTCGCTGAAATTCCTGGAACTGATGCATGACCTCTTTGATGTACTCGTTGCATGATTTTTCCCAGAAACTGAACTGGCTGTCCACCAGAGATCTGGCTATCTTCTCCCGCAGATTTGTCTGGTCGGTATCGGGTGAAATGACGGCTTGTTGCAGGTAAAATGCTTGTCTGGAATGTACGCCCTTTCCTTGTTGAGTCGAGGTTCGAGTTGCCTCGTAAATTGGCCTCATCACACCTGCTACAGGGGAGTAGAAGTTCTTTTCCGTTGTGAAGTTCAGATAGTTCTCATTCAGATATTTTTTCAGCTCGGCCAGCAAGACACCGTATGCAATACCAATTCGCCGTGACAAAGTCTTGTGTGCATCTGCGGCTGTTCGTTGTAGGGCCGGGTCCCCAGTTGAAAGATTGATATGGGTTTCGAGTTCTCTCATGATGGCTTGGACGGGTGCATCCAAAATCTCGGTAACTTCCTTAGGGTGTGACGACATGGTGCAGTGCCATTGATCGATGTAGCTATGCATAGTACGTGCAAGCTCCAGGTTAAGATTGTAGTCTTTGCAAATCCCACCGGTAGGCATTCCATGGTCCCGTAGCATCTTCGCAAAGGTCCAAAAGGGCCATTGTCTTGTTGTCCACGGATCTAGTGTCTTTTTGTGTGCTGGTAGAATCTTGCGTCCAATGTCCCGGTCATTCCAAGGAGCCTTGACGCGCTCTTGCAGAGTTGAAATCGAAAGAGCGTCGAGACGTTTCTGCAAACCACACAGCTCTTGGGCCAGGAACTCCCGCATTGTGCGATAGCCGTCCTCATCGACAAACTTCACTATTATGTGATTGATAGCAACCGATATCTCTGGAAGTGCCTCGAAGATATGGTTGTGCAGTGTGCGCAGATTGGAGGCAGCGGTTTGCATCAATAAGTATCCTCTGAGTGTTTCGATTCCTGTAGCTGCCATACATAGCTTGGGAATCTCTGTTGGGTCCGGCACTTGGTGTAATAAAGCTTCTCGAGCTGAAGTCAAGAGAACATGGACACCCTTGTCTGCAAACTTTGCCTTGACAATGTTGCTCTGGTGATTGATGAAGGCTAGCTTGGCGTTCATGTATAGACATTCCTTGTATTCGTGAATAAGAGCCTCATTACCCTCAGAAAACTCGGCGACCCTGTTGGCATCTTGAAGACAGTACTTCAGATGAGTGAACGGCTGCTCTTCTAGATCTTCGATCACGGTCGATATTCCCGTGACAATCTCCTATACATTTGTTAGCAGGAGCATATACATATATCGAAGACCAACTCACATCAGATCCATTTGTAACCAAGAGCGTCCTGTCTGGACCCCGCCGACGAATAGACTCATCCAGCCAGTGTTCTTGCGATACACTACTAGCAACTCTTGTGCGTGTGACTACAATCTCCATGTCTGCTTTGGCGCGAAACTGATCGATAATAGCATTCCGGATCTGGTTGTTGTCGTCATACCCTATGAAGGTTAGTAGGTGTTGGGTAGTATTTCTGACGTCAATAATACTTACCAGGCAAGTCAACCACATGGATGTTGTTTCTCAAAAGGGTGTGACCAGTCTCGATGTAAACTGCTTTCACGAGTGGCCAGAATTTATCGATCTGCGCTCGCTGCTTCCGCAGGTCTCTATCGTGGACATTCTTCAGGCTGGCAACCAACTCTGTGATCTGCACACAGCGTTTTCGGATCTCGGTCATACAGCGTTCAAGGAACTCTTCCTCTTTGATATCGTCGCTATGGAGAACTGCTTCCAAGGCCTGCTTTGATATTACGTTCTCTTGAACATTGAGAATGATTTCGAAATACTCTTTTGCTGTGTCGGCGCCACGCTTCAGCTGAGCACGGTCGAATTCTCCGCTGGATTTGGAGTACTCTTGGAAAATATGAGCTTCAGAAAGGCTGCCTTCGTCTTCGTATCTCACGATCTGCTTGCTCTTGGATGAATGAGCGTACCATTCGGTCCAGCGGTTGATCTGTTCTCTGACACAGTCCTGATATTGCTCTTCAGTAAACAGCTGGATAGCCAAATCGCTAAGCTTCGTGTTGTCCATAGTGCCTTTCTTCCATATTATGACTGTCGGAATCGAAGTGCATGCCAACACACCACCAGAGTTTGTGACGAGCACGCGACCGAAGAGCGCGTTGATCAATGTGCTCTTACCGACACCCATCATTCCAAGGAAAGCTGCGAGTAAAGCCGTGCCTTTAGGCATGTGGTATGCATCACTCAACCTTGCCAACAAATGTGAGAGCTCTTCACTAGTTTCCGGAAATTCAGATATCGCCTCAGAGAGTTTGGCACACATGTTGCGAACATCGTCATCAATCTCCATGTGCATCCTATCGTAAAAGCTGTCGGATGCAAGGCCATTGGTTGAGGATTGGGCTGAATCGCTGATTCCCGTAATCTTTGACCTGACGGTTGAGTCGGCAGCTTTGAACTCTGCGAACTTGGGCAACACCACAGGAACGGGGAGCGCGAGGCTCAGGCTGCGGTCCGACATGTTGCTATTCGAACAGTTAGTTCACACAGGACAGTCGAAAATAAACAAGATACTTGCTCAAGTCGGACCAGCCCTCTGGTATGAGTAGTCTGAACGTCGTACAGGTCGCAAGAGCTATAGCCTTGGAGGAAATAAAGATGGTGGAGATATGATGGAGAAAGAGGTTGTGGGATAACATGAGCAATGGCGGGGCAGAAAGGTGCACGCAAGATATGAGCACGTGCCAAGGTGCAAACGAGCAAACGGTGAGATGGGGTGGCAAACAGTGGCCGAAATTGGTAAAGTGAGAAGTGAAGGTGAGTTTGCAGCTTTTCAGAGGGATGTTTACAGAACTACTCTGATCATTTCAGCGCTGATTTGAAGGAAGTAATAGAATGTTCTGAAGGCAGCGAAAACCGTCATTGTTGATTATTCTCACATGGGCACGAGTTCAAGTTGCACAGGTAAAGTTGAGACGATGATTTGGAGTAAAGTCAGCAGCTCATCTACAAACATCACATTGTAACCTTCTACTACAGAAACTAAGGATACGCATCTCGTCGAATGCCCAGATACTTCATCTCTCGTAGTAAACACATAATCTACAAGTGCAGTAGCGCGTCATCGCAGCACGTGGTGTGGCCGGGGTACGAGTGCAAGCTTTGATCGTCACAATCGGTTGCCCAGAAGAAGAAGCGCATCCCATCGTGTTCCTAGCGGCCGTGCCGGATGGTAAAGCTTAAAAACGTCGGGATGTGTCTGGAAAAGTGACGCTGGACGGGTGGAGAAGAGGGTCAAGTCGGGCCGGGTTCTAGAATGCTGTTCCTGCATGTCTTGGCATACGTGATGCGGGCACCCATTCGCTCGGAAACCTGCAAAATTGGCATGCGGGATTCGTCATGTTGATGGCATTTGTATAAGCCCATGGGGCGTTCGGCGTGGGAGTGATCGCCCACGATCCTCGGCTTAACTACTGACAAAACTTTGGTAGTCCGGTGAATTGTGCGCATGGCCGGCTATAGGAACACGCACAACGCGGGGCAGCTTTGGCTGCGCGGGACGCGTCGGAGGTTTGTCGCATAGTATTGCCTGCGGTTCAGATGCTAACAATTCCAGCCTACATAGCGCGCGTACACGTATATACAAGTCCAAAGCCGCCGCTCTGGGTATTCGCTATGGCCCTCCATCACTCATTGCGACAGCCGCCACTAGCTTCTTATCTTCCGGATACTCCCCGTTCCCGGTGTCCCATCCGATTCAGCTCGATGCTCCATCCATGAAACGATGGATCTCAAGCGGAAATGACGAAGAAAAGACCGAGACGACATCTGCAGGGGAGGCGGAGGAACAGATGAACGAGGAAGGCTCGCGCAAGTCGGGCGACCAGGATGCACCACCACAGACGCGCGTCGCAAAGGGATACAGCGAAGAGGATGAAGAAGCTGGAACAGCCAAATCAGCCTGGCAGACCATTGCCGACAAGTTCCCGAGCTCGCCGTCACCCTCTGCCATTGGCGACACTATCATTGACTATATTGTTCCGAACTGGGTTAAGGTTCTCCCTGGCTTCATTCGCAAGTTGCAGAATGAACTCTCAATGGCACCGGGATCGTTGGCAGAGGAGATATGGTACGAGGCAAACGATCCCGAGATCAACCCCGAGATTATATGGGACGCCTCAGTGAGAGTCTCGGACGAGCTGTGCCAGGAAGAAAAGTCGTTTTTGGAAAAGAGGGCACAGTTCACCAAGGCAGCACTTGCGCGATATCTCGATATTCCGGAAGCCAAGATACACCCAGACGACGTTCCTGTCATCGCCATGTGCGGATCTGGTGGCGGACTGCGCGCTCTTGTCGCAGGTACATCATCGTATCTCTCCTCCAAGGAACACGGCCTCTTTGACTGCGCCACATACACGGCGGGTGTCAGTGGTAGTTGCTGGCTCCAGACCCTCTACTACTCAGATCTTACTCAACGCAGCCACGCCAAAATCATCCGACATCTCAAGAACAGGCTCGGTGTGCATATTGCCTTTCCACCCGATGCGCTTGAACTTCTTGTCAGTGCGCCAACAAACAAATACCTGTTGAGTGGACTTGTGGAAAAGGCGAAAGGTATTCCTGACGCCGACTTTGGACTCGTCGACATCTACGGCGCGTTGCTCGCTGCCCGCTTGCTCGTACCAAAGGGAGAACTCTCTGTCAGCGAGTATGATTTCAAGGTTTCCTACCAACGACGCTTTACAGACAACGGCTCACAACCTCTCCCAATCTACACTGCCGTCCGACACGAGATACCTCTTGCTGAACAGTCGGGAGAAACAGACCGGATTGCTGCAGAAGCAAAGGCCAGGAGAGAGGCATGGTTTCAGTGGTTCGAATTCACTCCATACGAGATGTGGTGTGAGGAGCTTTCAGCCGGTATTCCCACCTGGGCCATGGGTCGTCGATTCGAGAACGGAAGGACAGTCTGGCGCGATAACGGTTTGGCCTTACCAGAAGTGCGCGTTCCACTTCTCATGGGTATCTGGGGATCTGCCTTCTGTGCAACACTATCACACTACTACCGCGAGATCCGACCTCTCATGAAGAGTCTCACAGGTCTGGGCGGCAGCATAGACGCCATGATTGCCGAGCGCGACGATGACCTCGTCAAAGTCCATCCCATCGACCCCGCCGCCATGCCCAACTACGCCCTCGGCATGCGCGAGTTCCTCCCCAAAACATGTCCGGAGAGTATTCATGTACAAAAGAACTTCCAATTCATGGACGCCGGCATGTCCAACAACCTACCCATCTACCCACTCCTCCGCCCGGGCCGCAACGTAGACATACTCGTCGCCTTCGACGCCTCCGCCGACGTCAAAACCGACAACTGGCTCAAAGTAACCGAAGGCTACGCCCGTCAACGCGGCATAAAAGGATGGCCCGTAGGCGCCGGCTGGCCCCCCGATGAGGAGCCCATCGAAGAGCTAAAAGAAGATCTCGACCGCGCCTCAGCAAAGACCCCGCAACAAGCCCAAGAAAAGCTCGACGAAGCCCAAGACGCTGGCAGCACCCAAGAACCATCGGCCAAAACCAACAAAAAGTCAAACGACCTCGGCTACTGCAACATCTGGGTCGGCAGCACCGAAGAACGCACCCACGACCCCTCCGACAATGCCTCCCCCTCCACCCCACCGTCCCCCACAAAACAAGCTACAGAAGACTGGGAGCTAATGCACCCTTCCTCCGGCATAACCGTAATCTACTTCCCCTTCCTCGCCAACCCTAAAGTCCCCAACGTCGATCCTAAAGTCAGCGATTTCATGTCAACCTGGAACTTTGTCTACACGCCCGAGCAAATCGACTCCGTTGTCGAGCTCGCACGCGCGAACTTCGATGAGGGTGCTGAGAGAACGAAGAGAACAGTTAGGGCCGTGTATGAGCGGAAGAAGGCGTTGAGGGAGCAGAGGGAGAAGGAAGAGAGGGAACGGCGGTGGAGGTGGAAGATGAGGCAGGGGAGGATTGCTGGGAGGAGGGTTGGGGGTGAGGAGGGGGGTGATCAGTTTAGTTAGATTTGGGGGGGGGGGGGATGGATGGTTGCATTATACCCTAGGATCGAGAATGAATTGTTAAGTGTTTGTCTTTAGTGTGTTTGGCTTTGGGTTGTGGGTGATGTAGGTGATATGGGTGTGTGTATTATTATTATTATTATTATTATTCCATTTAAGTCCTTTTTCAGTCAGAGACTATGTAGGACTGGGCCGGAGGCCGTTCTATCTGGTTTTGTTTATCGTACATTTTGGGTGTTTGTTTGGCTATGGCAGTTTAGGCTTGCTTCTAGCTAGACTCGGTGTCTAGCTGGTGCCTGGTGCTAAAGAGCAGTTTGGTGAATAGAAAGAGATGTATCAGCGGGCTCTTATGGCAAAGGAGAAGGCAGTGTTTTTAGTTTTATATAGTGTCTCTCTGTGTGTCGTCTAGCAGCTGTCCTTGGTACCATTTTCTTGTTCCTATTCTAGTGCTAGTAATAAAAGCTAAAGTGGCTTCTATACCGGCGCTAGTATGGAGAAGTAGTGGTAGAGTAGCTGGTTGGTGATTGATTGCTTGTATAAGAGTTTTTCTTTCTGTTTTGTATAGAGAGCATTGTAAAAGTAGGTGCTCTGGTGTTTGGGTGTGCGAGCAGCTGCAGAGATCAGATTCTATTTTCTTGAATCTCTTTAAATAGGACCTAAAGTATCCGTGTCCTATTTTAAGAGCATAGAAGGCGCTAGAGATTTCTCGATTAGTGCTGCGTGGTATTTGGATTGTTTTTCGGATTTTGAGTGGGAATTTTGCTGAGTAGGTCTTTTTGTTTAGAGTAGTTGCTCTTGTTTTGTATTTTTGGTACTCTTAGCGTTATTCGGTTTGTTCGATCTTTTTAATAACAGTGCCTAGGTAGGCAATGCTTTTTGTTGATGATTGTGGGACTTCTTTAGCAGCTTCTTTTGCAAGATAGTCTGCTCTTTCATTCCCTACTATGTCTGTGTGTCCGGGTGCCCACAGTAAGTGGATAGTAGCCTGTTTTTGTTGGATTGTTTTTGCTGCTTTTCAGACTTGTCATTAAGCAAACGCGTTTGAATAGTTTGTTTGATTTGCTTGACTATAAGCAAATTAAACAAACCAAACGCTGCCTATAGAAATATACAAACAAATCAAACGTACGATCGAAATTTGTTTAGTTTGTTTGACTGTTTGACTAATATTACATAGCGAGCTGTTTGTCGGAACATGCGCGTACAGCCAGCCCGGCGAGTTTTTCCGGGCCGGAAGCTTGGACCACTAGTTAGACCAAGCTTCCCGCTTAGCTCGCAACCGTACATATGGAGATCTCTCCATCCAGCTCTTGCTCACTACTAATCAAATACTATACACTTTGTTCGTTGCAACGACTGCTAGTATTCGACACCTTTGCCGTGTCAACACTGATCAGTGGTTGATATGACCACAGATCGGCAAGACATCTGTGTACAGAGGGCCCATCAGCATTGCGTCTGTGTAGCCTAGGTAAAGAAGCGACTCTTAGTACGACCTTGTATCGTATTAAGCAGTGCGAAGAACAGATCCGCCCACGAGCGTTCGTTTCGGCTGACGGAGTCTGAAAGAGATCCAGAACTAGGGATCTGCGTCAACTACGCACCAAAACCCGACAAAATCACCGGCGAGCAACCCCGCCACAGTCAACCCCGCGACAAGCGACCTACGGGCAATCTACAAGCGACCCACAGGCAACCCCGCGACTCACAAGCGACCCACCGGAATCATGCCTACAAGCATTACTACCCGGCAATGGTACCCAAAGGTGTACGCGGACGAGTACACCAATACCCAACTCGACATTGCAACCGATGCTATTATCCCTGGTCAGATAAGCACTATTGCTATCGACTGGATGATACAGGCCGAAAGAGAACGGAGACTTTGACATCATGCTTATTCAAGACTTCCAAGAGACATTTGCAGGATGGTCTCTCAACCATTTCAATGCAATGGACATGCGAGTCCGTACAGCAGTCAAGAACATACTCCGCGACCGAGGTGTCTACATCGAGAAGAACAGCCGCAACACCATCGCGCAACAGCTAGTCAATCTCCTTAGCCTTACACGCTCTCCCGACTGGCCCATTGACGAGCTCAACGTCATGCGACTCAACCCAGACTTCAAATGCCGCCAGATAGCAGAAGAGGCACAACACGCTAGAACAACCCAACAAAGCAGCAACCCGCTAACTCAGAGCGCCAATATAAACTATGCGCCATCTCCTGCCCAGGCAAACGTAACAGCCCTCACCAACCTCGCAAAGGTATACAGTGAGGAGGAGAAGTTCAGTGGCGACAAGTATGACGTCCTCGACAACAAGATAGTCATCTTTAAAGACCATTGCGAAAAGGTTGGCATTACGACACCAGCACAGTACAAACTTGCAGTCTCTACTATGCTCAGAGGCAAGGCCTCAGCATACTACTACAACTACATTGCTCCACTCAACCTAGACTACGACAGCATTATCAAGAAACTAGGGGAGTACTTTCACACGAGCGAGAACTACCAAATGTTCTTAAGTGAGTGGCGCACCATTATGCTGAAAGACGTCATCGCCAACAACCCCGACAAGACACTCACCCAGTGTCTCGACATAGTCATCGACAAGCTCCAGCTGCTGCACCAGGCAATGACTCAACAGAATGGACCAAGCGAGCTCGCTCTTACAAGCCAACTTATTGCTGCCTGTCAAGGCGTCGAAGCATGTAGCGCAGTCCTTATCCGCCCAGCTTCAACCTTTGAAGCCGTTGCCTCAGAACTCCGCAACGCTGTCGGCAACTGGACGCGCTGCCATCCGCGCTCACAGTTCAACTGCGAGGAGTCCGATCCGAGCGAAGACGCGTTCTACACAAACCGCCGATACAACCGCAACGATAGCGGACAACGCGACAAACCGCGCAACTATAGCGCACAAGGCCAAGGCGAAGGATCCCGCAACTACAACCGCGGAGGATCCCGCTTCCAACGCAGCTTACCCCGATCGCAGTACAACGATGATACACAGCGCCGCAATAACAGGAAGTGCTACGTCTGTAGCAAGCCAGGCTGCTGGTCAACTCGTCACTCTAGAGAAGAGCGAAAGGAAGCGCAACAACGTTTCCGGACGTACGTGCAGACCCGCAACGTCGATATAGACTACGAAGCTTTCCTTGCCCAGTTTGAGGGCATTGACCTTAATGACGACGACGATAACGGCGGCACGGACGAAGAACTCGACGCGTTCTTCAACAACGACCAGTTTGATACAAAGCACCAGTTTCTCACTGCTACCTGCGGTGCAGTTGATGGAGGAACAATGGTACGCAACCTCAACAACGCCGCCGCTCTACACGCGATCACGAAGATCGACCCATACGCCGGCAACGACATTGCCAAAGAGGCAAGCCACCTCTTCACACTCGATCACCGGTACGGGCGCGAGCAGTTCCAAGGCATCATGCCAGACACCGGCGCGGCCGGAGTGTCTACAGCAGGCAAGCAACAGGTTACAGCGTTACACCGCATCCAACCGTTATGGATTGACAAGTCAACTGCTGGCCGACACCGGATCCGATTTGGGGATAACCCGGAGTGTGTTTCTATCGGCGACGTCAACGTCCAGACACCCGTTGGAGTGATTAGGTTCGCTGTAATGCCTACTAACACACCGTTCTTACTCTGTCTTGATGACATGGACCGCCATGGCATCTACTTCAACAACGTCGACAATACGCTAGTTCATCAGTCCAAGGAGTACCCAATTGTCCGCAAGTGGGGGCATCCATGGCTTCTTCTCAACAAGCAGGAGACTGCCACCCACTATCTCACCGAAGGAGAACTCCAGCAACTCCACCGACGTTTTGGGCATCCAGCCGCCGCACGCCTCTACAAAGTCCTAGTAAAGGCAGGCCACGACGACATTGACAAGACGCTAATTGATGAGATTAACAAGTTCTGTCATCAGTGCCAGATAACTGCTAAAGCACCAGGCCGATTCCGCTTTACTCTACGCGATGACAACCTCGACTTCAACTCCCGCGTCATCGTCGACATTATGTACATTGACAGTAAACCAGTCCTCCACGCCGTTGACGAAGCAACTGCTTTTCAAGCCGCCCGCTTTCTTATAGACATAAAAGCAAGCACAACATGGGACACGCTGCGCGCTATGTGGATTGACATGTACGTTGGACCGCCCGACACTATCGCGACCGACGCTGGCACAAACTTTGCGAGCAAAGAGTTTGTTGATAATGCCAACGCGATGATGATAGAAGTCCACGAAGTACCAGTTGAGGCCCATCACTCGATTGGCAAAATTGAACGCTACCATGCTGCCATCCGACGAGCGTTCGAAGTCATCTCCGCCGACATCGGTGCATCTACGACGACGAAGGATGACATCCTCCAGATGGCTGTCAAGGCTGTCAACGACACCGCCGGACCTGAAGGACTTGTACCAACGCTGCTGGTATTCGGCACCTATCCACGTCTCTCCAAGACATCACCGCCATCTCCCTCAATCACCGCGCGCGCAACGGCAATACGCAAAGCGATGGCAGAAGTCCGGAAGATTAAGGCAAAGCGACAAGTCAATGAAGCTTTAGGTACCCGTAACGGGCCAAACAACATCGTCACGCAAGTACTAGAACTACCGCTGCAGAGCAACGTCAAGGTGTGGCGTGAAGGCCTCGGATGGACTGGCCCGCACACTCTCCTCGCCCTGAACGACGATCAGACTGCTGCTATCGTCGACGCTCATGGGAAACAAGCAAGTTTCCGCATCACCTCTGTCCAGCCGTATCATCAAGACGACACTACAAATCTCCCGCGACCTGACGAGGAACAGCACGGCGATGAGGAACAGCACAGCGAGCATCAGCGCGACAATGACGACTTTGTTCCCCCAGAAGAGCCACCGCAACGCCGAGGACGCGGCCGTCCCAAAGGCTCCAAGAACAAGCCGAAGACACACGCTGCTAACCTCGCACAGCGCGAGAAAGACGACATAGTGCT